TTCTAATATTTCTAATGGTATTTTTTAAGGCCTCGATGACAACAGTGACTTTGGATGCAAAACAAAAGTGTCGCATACAGCTGTCCTTATATATTTTCCATTATCCTTCATAGTCCAGCGACCCTTTCCTGTGTAATCTTTCTCTTTAATAAATCTCGAGCTACAGAACTACCCTTAAACTAAAAATAAACTTTTTTTTTTTTTTTTTTTTTTTTAAATTCTCTCTGCTGGCTGATCTGGTACTACATCTTTCTTTTTCTCGAGCTTCCGGAACACGTCCATCTCCATAGAAAAATGAACTTCAACGATAATAATGTCCACAACACATACACTGCTTCTAACTCTACGGACGGCAATCCCGGTCCTTCGATCCTGGAGGGCAACCCCGCTCCACCATCCACCCTACCCAGTAACACTTCCCTTCCAGAAAACAGATATGCCCTCCCTCCGGAGATCCTGCAAGCTATCAGTGCTCTCACGCAGTTCTCCCAGAACGGAGGCGCGTTCCACCAGCCAGACACACCAATCCAAGACCCATTTATGCGTCGCGCGGAGCCCCTGTGCTACCTGGCACCCTACGAGGATTTGGAACAGGTCATGCCTTCCCTCAAGAGACGAAAAGAATTCCACACAGTTAAGTTTAATGACGAGGAACAACGTTACTACGATATTAGCCAATTTCCAAAAGTGGAAGATATGGAATACACACCTCCAGCAATCCCCAAAGAATGGGCTATTTCCGATAGTCTCAAGAATGCTGATCAGAAATTGGTCACACTGGCAACAAAAGCAGCACACATTACGAGGCCACTCGCTGCAACAGCGCATGCACTTGTCTCTCAAAACGGTAAGGACGTTCCAGTACTACATATCCTCCGCACCCTGGATACAGTCCAAACTCAAATATCCATGCTCTGCGAGCAGATCAATAAAATCCGCACTGAAGCATTCTACAAGGAAAAGAAATTTATCACTCCTCCAGACACATCGACCAGACGCCAACTGGTCGAAACAGCCGATTTACTTGAACATGCCAAGCTTTCGCAAAATGTCAAGAAATACAGCAATCCTAACCGAGGTAGAGACTACCGAGGCAGGCAAGGTCGCTTTGGAAACAATTCAGCTACTCAAACACAGCAGTATCAACAAGCGACCCCTCAGACTCAAAGCCAACAAACAACGCAACCACAGCAAAATAATAATTACGGCTTGGGCGGCCAATTTTTTCGGAGCTCCCCTTCCACACGGGGAAGGGGACAAGGAAGGGGGCGCCAGTAGGAGGTCGACTACACCTCTACCAAACAGCATGGAATCTATTAACAGACGAGAAATGGGTACGCAGAGTTATTCAGAATGGATACGAAATCCCGTTCGATTCGCTACCACCAATCAGCAATACAACAACACACAGCAGCGTCCGCTCCAAAGAAGAAATGAAGACGATAGAACAAGAAATTGTAGCATTATTAGCCAAGAAAGCCATAGAGGAAGCTTCAGAACATGGGTTCGTGAGCCGCATCTTTACTATTCCAAAGAAAACGGGGGATCTACGCCCCGTATTGAACCTAAAGCCACTGAACAAATTTATTTCACCCCCTCATTTCAAAATGGAATCAATGAAGACGGTTTGCAATATGATAAACAAAAAGGATTACATGACGAGTATAGACTTAGAGGATGCCTTCCTACATATTCTAATACACCCCGAATCACGCCGGTTCCTTCAATTTCAATGGAAGGAGAAAACTTACCAGTTTCGGGTGCTCCCCTTCGGGCTGTCGTTAGCCCCTTACGTATTCACCAAGATGCTGAAACCAGTGCTGAAATGGGCCAGAAGGAAAGGGATAAGGATAGCAGCGTATCTGGACGATATCCTGATAGTAGCCTCATCACAACAGTTGTCGGAGATACATACCGAGATGGTTCTCCAGCGACTAGCATCCGTAGGATTCAAGGTGAAGGAGTCGAAATCACATCTAAAGCCGACACAGACAATCCAACACCTAGGATTCACAATCGACAGCCGCAAGATGACACTGTCGGTACCCAAGAACAAGATCCGAGATGTCCGCAGAGAGGCATCCAAGATGATAAAGAAAGGAGAAATGACTCTGAGAGCATTAGCATCATTCATAGGCAAAGCTCTGTCCATGACAGCAGCAGTCCTTCCAGCACGACTAAGAACTCAGAACCTCACCCAGCTGAGAAACGAAGCTCTCCGACAAGGGAATTCATGGACGGCATCTATTTCGTTGACGACGAAAGCCAAGGAGGACCTCCAGTGGTGGATAACCAATTTGCGAGAATGGAACGGCCACACTTGGATAACCCAAACCCCTCAAGAGGAGATATTCACGGATGCGTCCGACACGGGCTGGGGAATAGTCCACAAGAACTATCACTACTCAGGAGTATGGAACCAGTCGGACCACAGCCAACACATCAATTGGAAAGAACTGATGGTAGTATGGTATGCCACCAAGCTACCTCAATTACAAGGCAAACGAATTCACTTGTACTGCGACAACACAACGACGATCGCGTATGTGAACAAATTTGGAGGAACGAAGTCACCACAGTTAATGGAACTTGCGGAAAAGATTTGGGAACATTGCCTACAGACAGGGACAATGATTTCGACGTCCTTCGTACCATCGGAGTTCAACCCGGCGGATCCACCCAGCCGGCAATTAAACACCCAACTAGAATGGAGCCTCAAACCCGAATGCTTCCAAGCCATAGACAAACTATGGGGACCACACAAGATCGACCTATTTGCCTCTCACAAGAACACTCAACTTCCGACATACATGTCGTGGAAGTACGACCCGTCCGCCCTAGCGCAGAATGCGCTACTGCAACCATGGAAGAACTTGGGCAGATTATACATATGTCCACCATGGAACCTGATTCCCCAAATTCTGGACCGTCTAAAGAGAGAGCGCCTCAAAGCCACGGTGATCACACCCAATTGGACAGGAGCGATATGGTACCCGACTATCCGAGCGATGACCACGACGACGCCACTCAATCTAACACGAGCAGCAGTGCACTCATCCTCGCCACGAGACCCGGGGATCCTGAACAAGAACCCGGCATGGTGCTTGCTAGCCTGGAATATCGACGGCGCCAAGGTCTCTTGGAGCAAGGCCTCAACGAGGACGCCTTAAAGGTGTTACTTGACTCGGCCTCAGAGACTATAAAAAGTCAAAAATATAACCATATCCAGAAAGGATACATCAGTTGGTGCCAAAGGAACCATATTGACCCCGCTAGGGCCAACCCAACAGCACTCATCAACTACTTTGCTTGGGGTAAACGAGCTAAAGGTTGGTCACCTCAGACGATTTTAACGTATCGAGCACATCTCAAAGGCCTATACCCAGGTTCAAAAGTATTCGAAGACGACTATACGTTCAACAAATTCTTCAAAGTCCTTAAAGCCAATCAAGTCTGTCCTGCTAAAGATATAGATATCGACATTACGCCAGTTCTCGACTACTTTCGAGCTCTAGGTGACAACGATACCATTTCACCCATGGAATTGACCAAAAAATTGTGTTGGCTATTAGGCATGTGTTTATTTCTTCGACCTAGCGATATCGAACGTATCGACCTCTCACGTTGTAAAGAAACTAGACAAGGAATACACGTCTACGTAGTAAGACCGAAACAGACAAGGCAAGGAGTCCACCAAGATACATCCTCTCTCCTTTCCATCCATACACTTGACCCACTATTATGTCTGGTTGCCACATGGAAGACTTATGTACGACGATTAGTTGGCCGCAATCTGAAATGGCCACATCCAACGCTCCCAGATCTATCATATAACCCTCTCATTCGCTACGTCAACGAACCAGACTCACCTACAGGAGCGGAACGAATAAGCAACCACATCAAGAGTGTCATGTCCCTTGCTTCCATGCCATCACAAACTCGAATTCCTAAGGCACGCGCCGCTGGTTCCACACTAGCAGCCCTCAAAGGTTCCGACCTGGATGAGATCGTCATGCAGGGCCGATGGGCCTCGCAAGAGGTTTACAAGAACTTCTACCGGTTGTCAAGTAGAACCAGGTGCAATTTCACAACAACCATTCTTAGCTGATCTCTGGAGTCACAGGAAAGGGTCGCTGGACTATGAAGGATAATGGATAGCGAAGACGACAAAGGAAGTCTTACGCTCATTATCCGTACCAGCGACCCTTTCCTGTCCCGCCCACGGCCACCCAAGGAGCATACGATTCTTAGCGGTCGAAAAAGAAAGATGTAGTACCAGATCAGCCAGCAGAGAGAATTTAAAAAAAAAAAAAAAAAAAAAAGTTTATTTTTAGTTTAAGGGTAGTTCTGTAGCTCGAGATTTATTAAAGAGAAAGATTACACAGGAAAGGGTCGCTGGTACGGATAATGAGCGTAAGACTTCCTTTGTCGTCTTCGCTATCCATTATCCACTCAGGAAAATGAAAAAAAAGGCGTTGGAGTGCTGGATGCGGAAAAAAAAAAAAAAAAAAAAAAAGAAATCAGCAAAACAAACAAACAAACACAAGAAACAAAAAAGTATTTTTTTTCTCTCTGTTTACTCGTTGTACTGCTTACGTCCTCTGAACGATGCGCACAATCGTGGGCACCATGTCTCCATGTGCTCCGCTCACATTCCTGTGCTCCGCTCACATTCCTGTGCTCCTTCCCAATGCCGTTCAAAAACAACCAATAAATCATTGATTTACAGCAAAAATACTCAACAAAAGACAATGAAGGCGAGAGTGAGAAACTTCGCCATCTCACAATATAAATACCACAGTTGCCTCTCTTCTCTTTTAACATTGCTTTGCTCCATCGACTGCTCCCTGGTGTCCACTAGCCTTTTCCCTTCTTTATCCTCTTTAATCTCTCTTCTTTCCGCTCCCCTTCCCAACCTACTGCAGCAGCCAAGTTATCTCTTGTGCACGCCATTCTAAACGCCCCCGCCTCAATACCCTAACTCTTCCTCCCTTCTCACAATGGCTTTCGACATTCGTGACGAGGATGAGCAGCACCACGACGAGTTCGATGAGTACGAGGATGTAAAACAGTCAGAGCGTCCAAAATTCTACCGTCGACGCAAATTCTGGATATGTTGTATTCCTACTACCATCGTTGTCGTCGTCGTTGCCGTCATCCTGGCGCTTTATGTGATTATGCCCAAAATCGCACAGGGTCTAATGAACAAGTCCACGATTAATTTTTCTGAAATTGTAAGCTATTTATTCAACATGTGTTCCATATTGCATGCCTGTCTGTACGTAATTTATGGTATTACATACATAAACTAACGATCTACGCGTTATACATGATACTAGGACATTACCAATCCTACAGCTACAACTATGGATATTATTATGAAAGGTGACATGCAAAATACTGGCCCATTTCACGCTGAAATTTCTTTCCCTGGCGAGGTTACTGTCTCTTGGAATGGCACTGTTCTCGGCACCACCCAAATCCCAGGTTCTAGCGAAGCTGCGTAGGTTTTGCTTACTTTCTGTATCATCAGCCTTGCAACTGCAACTGCACTTCGAACTAATTTTCAATATCACTTTTTATTTTACTTACTCTTTCTACAGAGGAGGTTCCGGTACCTTGGACTTGAAGAGCAGCTTCACAGTCACCAACTCATCTGCCTTTGCCGAGTTCTCAGGTTTCATGCTCAATGCCGAGTCATTCGTCTGGCATCTCGAGGGCAAGCTCAATGTCTAGGCTCTCGGCCACACTGTCAAGGATCTCGACTTGAGCAAGGATATTACTGTCAATGGTAAGGATTTTTTATATATTTTATTTTTATTTTTATTTTTTTTCGCAATAGTATTTCATTGCTGTCATAGGGTTTGCATTACATCTTGATTGATGTCATATCTCTTTTCCTTCACCTAATACTTCGATAATATGGCAAATCAGCGTTCAAGGGCCTGAGCGGTATTACCATTCAAAAGTTTTCTTTACCTGGTGATGACCCCTCCGGCAAAGGTATCCTTGTAGAGATTGACACTCTTGTGACCAACCCTTCCGCCATCCAGATGTATATGGGCACTTTGACCCTAGCCATTTCGTACAAGAATACGCTGATGGGCTATGTTTCCTCCAGCGACTTGACCATGAAGCGTGGCCAGCAGACTTTGAGCATGAAGGGTGTTTTGATCCCACAGACGACCCCCGAAGGCCTTGCTGATACTTCTGAGATGATGTCACGATACATTGCAAATGTTGTGACTGACACGATTGCGACTGGTTATGAGGTTAAACCTGATGGTGTCAATTCTGTTGATTGGTTGAGCACCGCTGTTAAGAATTTGAAACTGACGGTTCCATTACAGAGCCCACAGCCTTTGCAATTGATCAAGGCCCTGAACTTGGGTGCGCTCGGTCTGGTTTTCACGCCTCCCACCGCTTATGAGCCCATCACGACATCAACTGGTGTCCTTGCCAACTACACTCTTCCCGACGGCTTCAACTTCAACATTCAATTCACACAAGTCGCCAACTCGTTCGCTTTGAGCCGTAACGACGTCATCATTGCCAACCTTAATTCATCTTACAATCCATCCACCTCAAATATGGCTGCAGGAACGCTGTCCTTTGATCTGTTGGCTACGCCCTTGACTGTCCCTGAAGCCTCTCGTCAGGTCTTCCAAGAGTTCAACCGCGACCTGACTGTGGGTTCTAATTTGCCTTTCAATGTTGTTGGTCATGCTTCCGTCTTCGCAAATACCTCTATTGGAACTGTCAATCTCATCAACATCCCTTTCAATGCATCAACTGAGCTAAGTGGCCTTCAGAGTTTGGCAAACCCTGCTCCCACCATCACTTCGCTACAAGTCATCTCTGGTACTCCTACTGCATTGACCATGGCCATCACGGTTGTGATTGTGAATCCATCGTCAATCTCACTCAATGCTGGCGACATCACACTTGACTTGGTGTATAAAGGCGCACGTCTCGGTACAGTAACCATGCCCAACTTGGCCATTGTTCCAGGCGCCAACGCTGTTGAAGCTACATCAACAATTGATCCTGCCGCTTCACCTGAGGGCATGGAGCTTCTGACATTGTATACAAGCGGTGCAGGCGCAGACGTTAATATCGTCGGTACTCCTGCCAGTACTGCTGTCGAGTCCCTGTCCCTTGCATTTGGCGCTCTAAGCATTGGATCCTCAATGCCTGGTCTCCAATCTAAGCTTTTGGCCGGTGCCTCCCTTCAAGTCCTCGAAACTACTCTTGCCGATGGCCTTGCTCAGACTGTTGTCACTGTCAACAATCCATTTGTTCCTCCTATGACTATTCTTTCTATCGACTCCCAAATCACCTATAACGGAATCTCGCTTGGAACAGTCGTGTCAACTTTTAACTCGCCCCCCGTGGTCCCAGGTACAGGCCAAGGTACCATCACTGCTGGCCTTGCTCTCAACACCAACCCTGAGGATCTTGTCAGTTTGATCCGATCTCAAGCTATCAAGAATGGCTTGAGTGTTGAAGCATTTGACGGCCTTTTGTCGCTCCACCATGGTGGAAACCCTCCTTCGAGCTTGTTTGAAGGTTTTAATGTGGCTGATTTTGTGATCAAAGCAATGCAGGGTCTCTCTGTCGACATCACAATGACTACGACTGTCAAGGTTGGAGAATACCAAGTGACCATGCCATACACCCAAACAGGCGTTTCGACCACTACAGATCAATCCATTCTTCGCTTGATTCCTCTTGTAGGCACCCCGATTGCGCAACTTTTGGTGGACCGCTCTGCTCTTGCTTTTGAAGCAATCACTATTCTTTCACCTGCAGAAACCGGATTTCAGACAGACATTGTTGGAGCTATCACGGAGACTGGCCCCTTAGATGCCCAGATTCAGTTCCCTAACCCGGTGACAGTCTCATACAATGGCAAAGCGATTGGGTCGATGGCGATGCCTACTGTGAATGCGATTGCTAACAAGGGTGCCGCCTTGGACCTCACTGGTGTTTCCTTCACTATCACAGAGCTTGCTGCATTCACTGAATTTAACGTGTACGCACTAAATAATCCCAAGTTTGAGTGGACTATTTCGACGACAGGCCTTGTAGTGAATGCAATGGGCGTTGCTCTTCCTGGCGTATCGATGACCAAGAAAGTGACTCTAGACGGATTCAACAAATTAGATGGCCTGCAGTTGTCAAGCTACATAATCAATACTATCGATGATGCTGGCTTGCACATGGTGATCAGTGCCTCAATTTCAAACCCCTCGACCATCGGTATGACAATCCCAACCTCGATCTTCAACACTCAGTTCCATGGTAAGGTCCTTGGGCCTGCTGTGGCGGAGGGCCTCACCTTGGTTCCCCATGGCACATCTAGCTTCGCTTTGAATGCAACAATCGCAAGCGGCAACGGTGATATGAGGCCTTACTTGACCGGCATTTTCCAAAACGCACTCAACGGTGTGCCTACAGAGCTGGAAGCCCAGGGTGCAGGCGCGCCAGGTATCTCATGGCTTGATGCAGCGATAAAATCACTCTTGCTTCACACTTCCTTGCCACCTCTTGCAGACCCACCGATTGAGTCTGCGGCAATCGATGCCATGACCATGGATTTCACATGCGAGGCTTGTGTCTGGGCACCCGAATCAGTCTCAACCATCACTGCCAAGACTAATCTGCCGTTCAGGGATGGGGCTCCTATCGTACAATTGAGCCAGAATGTCCAAGTCTTGGATAAGAATGGCGAACTTGTCGGAACATTGAGCACGGCTTACTCTCCAGCGAATGCCACGGGCAACAGTGTGACTACCATAACTACTCAGGCTCCTATGGTGATTGCAGAAGGCTCACATCAAATCTACGAGGCCTTCATTGCCGACTTGACTGAGGCAACGACTTACCAACTCGGACTCCGTGGAACTGCAAATTCTGTTTTGGATTTGGGGGCCCTTGGTCAGATTGAAGTCAAGGGTATTAACTTGGATGTCAAGACTTCGCTCGACGGACTACAAGGATTGAAGATAATTGAATACGTTACCAATATTGGCCTGAACTATTTCCCTGAATTCGAAGTTGTCAACCTCGTCAACATCAAAAATCCTAGCAAGTTGACGTTGAAGATTGGTGATTTGAAGATGAAGGTTGGAATTGATTACACGCCTGAAGGTTATGCTGGTGAATCCTTTATCACCAGTTTGATCCTTTCGCCTGGCGACAACATTGTTCCAGCGATGGTCATGCTGTACAACGACTCCCCTCAAGGAAAAAATGTTGTTATTGATAGTTCTATGCGAGATTTAGACCTAGCCCTGTACGCAGCCCCTGATACTAACAAGAACCCTGCACTCAATGCAGGAATGCAGGGCGTCCGCACTACAACCCTAATCGTTAAAGGCCTGCCTCCAAGGTTCAGCTCCCCTGCCTACAACCTTGACTGGGCAATCAAAGCCTCGCCCGAGACAGTTAACAGCGGGTTCGTGGATGTTACCACAACATTCAATAACCCGTTCTTTTCAACACCTTATGAGTTCCTTTCCTACAAGGCCAACGTAACTAAATTCCCAGCATCTGCTGAGGGTGGTTTCCTCAAAATATTGGTTGGAGATTTTTTGGATATGCTTGCGCCTTCAGTCCCAGAAACTGACGTGCAATTTAAGCTTCTACCCAGCCAGTCCATTACCGTCACTTACAAGATGAAGTTGGTTTGGATGCTCCCAGAAGGTATTTCTAGCCTTAAGGAGTCTGCCAAAGCTGGCCGCATCGAGAGATGCATCACTACATTGATGCCAGAGCTCAAGATCGGAAATGACCCTAATCCCTTTTCACCTGATTGGAGTTCAGCCACGGTTTACCAAGATCACCCTAACCCGTATGTCTCTGTGCAGCTTGGACCAGATGCTGATTACATGTTAAAATATTACGAAAGGCTTAATGGTGGTAATGTTGAGGTGCCGGTTCCTACTGCGACCGATTCACTACCAGCACCTTCGCCAACAGGTGTTCCCACCGAGGTATCACCAATACAGCCAGAACCTACCACAACAACCGAGGCTCCAGTTCAGCCGCCAATTCCTTCGCCTGAGCCCATTGCGACAACCGATGAACCAGCACCCCCGGCCCCAACTCCAAACGAGGGAGCTCCTATTTAGAGGATGGAATGTGCTTAATTAAGACACGCGTTTAATGCTCTTTCGATATCATTTACTTTATCTAATGAACAAATGTTATAAAAATGCAAAGATAGCCAATTATCATTCTTCCCTGCCACATCCTAATGACGATTTGTAATGTTATATAGCTGAATAATTATCTTCAGCGTCTCTCACCTCTCCTCCTGATTTCCGTATTTATTTTAATGAATAAACTCGTATTGCCGCATGGCGCTTTGTTGCAACGTTATACTAGGAAACGAAGGGAAGGATATGTTTATATGTGGCCTGTCTTGTTTCATATTACTTTTAGCATCATGCATCCGTTCATGGTTTGGTAGAGTTATGCTAATAGAAATAAGGAAAGGAAACAGTCCTGAATTGTGCCTATGGGTAATACACTCGGGAGAAATATCTAAGTAAACCCTATGCCGTGTAAGCAAAGAGGCCTTAAACACACAACAAGCGAATAGAAAACCATATAAAAACGCGTGAAAGCAGATGAAGGGAAAAGTACTCTTCTACTCAGCAGTTATCATTGGAATGAGTGGCTTTTTTTAAAGAAGCAAACAAAAGAACTGAATAATGTATTATACATGTACATCAACTAAACCGAATGGGTAAGGTCATGTACCCATTACTGAATATAACTGCTGATAGATTTTCGTGGTTATGGCCTATTTTCCCGATGGGCGAACCAACTATATATAATGTCAATAGGCGCAAATGTGAACAATAAATACAGAAAACCGGTTGAGTAAAATAAAACACACGATTTGGTTGCAATTCAGGAGTTCACTCGTCCCACCGTGGAAGCTTTATATATGATGGCTGACAACGAAGGGATCCAAGGTGAAAAGGAAACGAGGGGGCTATTGCTGTTTGTAAACAACCAAGCAAAGAAAAGAAAGTAAGGCCCTCGCGCTCAGCCTCTTTTCGTTGCAGATACATTTTACCCTCAAGTGAACTAAACCAACTTCGCAGGTGCCAATTTCGATGTTCAAGGGAAATAGCTTGGCCGTATGGTCTACACGAATAAATATAATTTCTATGCTTTACAGGCCGCACAAAAATCCCCTTTACCCCAGTGCTACAAACACTTTCGCTCTCAAGCTGCGCTTGCTCGTGAAGGCTCGATTTATGCATGGTGTAAGTCTTTATTATCTGTATCATTTATGGGTGAGAAATTCATTCTGGTTCTGATTTGAAGCAACACAAATCGTTGATCAGGAAATAATAAAGTCTGATCCTTGAGTAGCCCCAAAGGTTCCTGACTTAACTTTGCAAGCCACTCCTTAAAGTATAGCCATAGAGCCCCCAACCTCTTTTTAAACTCATTGAGCTCTCCAACGTCAAGCATCCGAACAAACTGAGATACTTTGAGAATTGAACTCATTCTTGGCTTCATGTCCAAAAACTGCTGATAGCTCAACCTTTAAGAGGAATGAGCCAAGCAGAATTGAATAATCTTTTAGTAGTAACTAATAGTAGACAGAGCCGCAGTAAGCTATTCATGTGATAAATATACTGATTAGGGGCACAATCACCAACTTAGCTCTTTAGCATTTCAGCGATTGTCAAGTTGTACTTAGCTGCTTCTGCATGAGCCGCCGTTACCCAGCGAGTGCTGATTTTGTATATGACTGACTGATATTGTTAGTAAGGCTCTCGCTCTCAATGGAGGGTCGCGAAGTGCTCACAGTGGTACTAAACCCGTTAATACTCGTAGCCAATAGCCTTGATTGGAAAGCCAAGGCTTTACGAGACGATTAAACTAGGGTTAGTAATAGATGTGGCGATGAGGCCCTACTAGCATATATATTGGCTGTGGATAATGACACTCTTATTATTGCAACACAGGCTTCAGCAAAATCATTATCAACTTTACTACCTACCCTTGTTGTCACATCTGCCGCCTAAAAGTAAGTTCTAGGTGTGAATGGCCCTTTTTAGAACATGGGAAGTCTTCAATTAATGTTTCTACATATTCTTTCAATGTTGCTTGTAACAGAGAATTAAAGAGAGCCAACTAACATTTGCTAAATTATTTTCAGCAGTCCCCTCTTCCTTCTTCTCTATCAGCATTCATCGTTTGTCTTGAAGAAAAGCGGGGTTATGGCTTCCAATGTATCGTACTGGAAGGGGGCGACATTATGCAGTTCTAGAATAAAAAAGAATTTTGTATCTGTATTATTATTTTGCTACTATACCTCTTGGCTTGTCTTGGGATGTACCTTACTAATTTGAAATCCTTGACTCTGGAAGAGGACTCATAAAAGCCCTAAGCCCTACGCCACGTAAACAGTGAAAAAAATAAAGCAATATACATGTAGTAAACTAAATGGTAGAATATATTAAAAGCAGAATTGCAGCTATCTGATTGCCCTTCAGTTTAATGCTTTCATTAAAATGTGGAGCGAATCTTGGAACGAAGTGAACACAAACAAAAGAGCCTTGTGGGAGTAAATAAAGAGGGCAAACTGTTCTGAATATTTTGTTTTACATTTGTGCATCACGTCAGGTAGAATATCATACCCGTTTTTTGAGCAGGACAGCCAACAGAGTTTGTGTAAAATGGGACAGTCATTTTTGTGTTGCTTGACAACAACTTATGAAGATACCATTTAGAAGTAGGCTATAGAGACACAGTCAAGGATGAAAGTATGGTATAAGGGGGCTTCGAGAAATGTTCAGCGGTGTCCTTTTTTTTATTATTGCTCTCTTTATCGTATTTAGCCACATCCTGCCTTATATTCGTTTTTATCCATCATTGAATGTACTTGTTGCCTGGATTAAAAAGATAGACATTTTAAAGAGTAGAATGCGAATATAAAAAACTAATAGCGAGCCAAGACAGGTATTCTCTTGTTCTTTTGTAAATGAGTATCCACATGACTCTCCAGACAAGATTGTTTGCCCTGTGTCACCTCGTTTTTTTTTTTTTTTTTTTTTTTTTTGCGTGCATCACCTTTGTTCAAAGCCGTTAGCCAGATTTACTTCCCACCATGGAAAATAAAAGGTCAGAATTCATCCTTAAGTAGGAACTATTGAGGTGACACACTTCTGAGCAATCTTAATTGCAAACACATATAAATAAATAAATAAAGTGGGCAAATGAGAGACATAAACTACAGTGCTAGAAAGTATATACCACACCTCTCTTTTGTATATTCTGCAAAGCAAGGCTGTGAACGGAGAAATAAAGTCGAGTGGGCAAATCTGTACAACGCAATTCGTGAATGCATGCAAAGAATAATAATGAAAAGTGACAGTACAAGAAAGAAGGTTCAACTTGAACCAATCAACTATCGGGTGAGTGTGAACATAGGCGCACGTTCGGGGTATGGATACTAGCATGCACGTATAAAAGCGTCGTCCTTCGCGTACATTTTCCATTTTTTCCTTCTATTCCTTAAGCTCCCTAGCATCCCTACGCACTCTCTTCTACGCACCTCTCTACTTCCTTTGCACCTAAAACCCACATCAAGAAAAACTCCCCTCTATCAAGAATGAAGGTCCTCTCCGTTATCGTTGGTCTTGCTCTTGCTGCCGTCAGCCAGGCTGCTGATATGCCTGCTTTGAACTTCACTAGCTGCGCTCCTTCTACCACAGGCCTCACTTTGACAGCCCTTCCAGTCCTTGAGCCTTACCCTCTTTGCATTGGCAAGGAATACTGCTTGACCTTGACAGGCCAACTGAACACCGATATCACCCAAGGCTCGCGCTTGTCAGTCATCGGAAGATGGGTTGGACGTATTGTATACACCGACAACCAAGATCTCTGCACCTTGTTGGCAGCTCAAGGAACTCCATGCCCTGTTGCTTCTACAACCTCTTCTATCAAGTTATGCACACCTATGAAGTCTAACTTCTGGGCCAACGTAAGTAACACTGATCGTGTAGTCTAAAGGGCTGTTAAGAGAGGACATGGATATGTACTAACCATGTATTTCATACTATCCTCTCTCTTTATTGATAGGTTCAAACTCATTTCCAATTCTCGGCTACCAACGGCGACGGCGACCTCCTTTTCTGCCAAACCAGTAAGTTCTCTATATTATCAGGAAGTTCGCCTATTTATCTTTGTGGACCCTCAAAGCTGATCATGATGCTCTAAATTATTATTATTATTATTATTATTATTTTTAAAAAAAAATAGGCCCCATCTATGCTCAGAACTGCGCCTAATGGATCAGTGTTTCTACGAGAACACCGTTCCAATTCACCCGTCGTATATACGCGAGAGCAAACCGTTGGAAGAGGTTGTTTGTTTGTTTGTTTGTTTGTTTGTTTGTTTACAAAGAATAAACATAATCAATCATAAATAAAATATAAACATTTTTTTCTAGAACTGAATTTCGCGGAAAAAGCTTGTGTTTTATACTTTTAATGGAGTATAAGAATAGCGAGAAGTCTGAAGCCTTTTACCCTTCATATCCTTACCAACTTTTTTTTTGCTGGTCTCTCTACCAGCTCGGATACCTCGTTGTCAATGGCGACATGGATAGTTTGATCTGTCAGAGTCAATAATCATTTTTACATTACAAAGCCTGTTACGCCTTTTTTATTTTTTATTTATTCTAATTTTATTTTTTATTCTAATTTTATTTTTTATTCTAATTTTTATTATTTTTCTAACTTTTTATTATTTATTCTAATTTGATTCTTTAATCTTTAACAATATCTCTATTTACTAAAGTCCTAAGGGCACAGCACAAGACATTACGAACCTGATAATAATTTAAATAGATGCGGTTTATACCCTTCTAAAAATGACTAAACCTCAATAATGGATTGCTTCTACTATTGATGTATGATGTAATTGATGGATTCCTTCAAACATCGTCCAAGGGCTTAAGCGTATGCCTTCCAGAAATAACTAGACTTCAATGATGGGTTACATCAGCTATTGATAGGGTCTAAACGTTTCCCATGAGCCTAATCTGTCTGTGCGTTCCAATGAAAAGAAACGAAAATAAGATGTGGGTGCGTTGACAGAAATGTACAAAGGAGATGTGAAGGGATATGGCTTTCATCGTGTCCCTTTTACATATACCTTGCCGCATATAACTCAGCCTTTCACTTTCTATTATGTAAGGTCATTGCTATGAAGGATTGTAATGCTATCATGGCTTTCATGAAATACTAAGCTTCTGACAGGAAGTTGAGTTGAGAAGGAGGCTCCCTCAATACCTCCTTCTGTCCCACCTATCTCTGGACAAAAGAGTGAAAAAAGAAAGCTAGTGAAAAAGCCTACTCCGCCTTCATAAAGGAAGCCAAGCAAGGAAGAATGAAACTGTTCTGTCATTCCGTCGACCCCAAGTGGCAGAAGGCAGGAGATAACAGTCTTTTCTGCGCTTCCTAAACGATGAGGAAGGAAATATAAACTTATTACTTTTCTTTCAGCTACTTTTGAGGACCCTTTGCTCCCTGCCTTCGTTGTTCATTTCAAGCTATCTCTTCTCTTCTGCGCTTGGCTGCGTATACTGCCAAGTCACTTGACTGCTCTTTCTGTTGGAACAAGCCATGAAGCCTCAGTACTTGACGTGTGGTATGAGGTCTAGCCAACATAGTCAATTTAGGCCCATGTGTTGCAGCCAGAAGATCCTATGATCATAAGAACGCATATGAGTAGGGATAGGCGCAGCTTGCTGCCTTGAAGGTTTACGACCTTTTTTTTTAGAAAAAAAAAAAAAAAAAAATGAATGTGATCTATGGATCTATGAGGATCTATGAGGATCTCTATTTAATGCTAATCGTTATCCGGATTCAATTGATAACATACGGTTTCATTCAATTTTCCATACCTTGATTAATAGGCAGTGGAGCTCCATTTTTATGGCCTGGGTTGAATTATGACGAATAAATGTACCCTTCGCCAATTGGGCCTTCAGCCTACAGCGTATCTACGCTGCATGAAAATAGTAGACCAATGAAATCTTTTCTATTTTGAATACAAGGTTGTGTTGGATGTTGCCTAAATAGGGCTGATGAACCTCAGAATCAAGTACCTACCGTGAACCAATGCAGATTTTGTACCGAGCGTCACGCCAAAAGCAATATTGTGGTTAAGTTTGGCTAGTTTTTATGTGGATGTTTGCTGCTAGAATGCAAAATAAATAATAATAAAATCAGCCATTCTTTTCTTCTCCATGAATATAAGGTTTTATGTTGGTATACTGATATAGGGTCAGGGCCGATCTAAGAGTATCGCCTGCACCATGGAGGAGGGCTTTTATGAAAGGATAGTGGCTAGTGGTGTCGCCTCCATTCCTTCAGGCTTTCATTTGATGGGGTAATCCAGTGTACCACCTATAGGCTGTTCATAGAGCTTGAAAAAGTGCATAAAGCCCTCTACTCACGCACCAGGGCCCTCACACTGCTGTGCGATCCCCAGCTATTTGATTTGATAAGTCAACTTTTCCGAAAGAGATGGTGCACTGGGCTAATAACAGTATCAGTAACTATGTGAAGAGTTGAATATGCAACAAAGAAAAAGAAGTAAAGAAGGAGAACGGGCCTGTGGCGTAATTACCAGGGTAACCATGGCGGGCAGATGGGTTGTTTAAAAGACCTTGGCTCTTATTTGAGTTTAATCACTTTATATTATATAGTATATGTATAGTTATTACTTGAATACTCAAATGAGTGCCTCCAAGTTTTGTTATCGCCATAAGGTAAATGGACATCACGAGGGAAGCACTAGATTGGTAGGACCGTGAGCGAAGCTACGGGTCGCTCGTATAGTTCTCTACTGTCTTTGCATTAAAGCAAACAAAATCTAGGCCCAATCTATGCCACGCACTATGACTAACAACAATTCACCAAAGGTAATTATAAAAAAAAAAGCCCTGACGCCTTTAGATAAATGGATAAATATCCTGAGAAGGATACTTTAGCAGTGAAGTAAAGAACTGCTACCAAGCTGAGAAATTACGAAAGAATCATTCAACTACTTCGTGTAACAAACACATTTTAACCCGTAGAGCAGTACAACAACGTGTACCACTTCACGCGGTCAGGATGCATGCCGCTCAAAAGCAAGTTTGTCTCCACAGTTCATACATGTTTCATATGTTTTACATGAGAATGGCACGTAAAACTGTGTATGTCATATATACAATCCATTTTCTAGCTTCTTCCCTTGACAACAAAAAAAGCAAACATAAGAAAAATCGACTGAGCAACAGTTTATTGAATGATGATGACTACGTCTATGGGAACTCGTAATGAAAGGAAAAAAGTGAGTTTTTTTTTTTTCCTCCTTGGGATGACACGAAGGAACGACATGAATACCGAGTTTGCTAACTCAAAAAATCAGCCTGTTCTGTCTGTTTCTTTGTTTCTGCTGATGAGATTTACAACATTAGTATGTAGACAAAGTGGGCATTTTTTTGATCTGCACGCCACTTTACGATGCATGTTAGTGGCACAGAAACCTTTCTCGTGCTCTTTGTGCTTTGTGCCACAAATAATATTCGCCCTCATTTTTCTCGTTCCACATGTCTCTCCACAAATATGTATTTGCTCAGAAAGTTCTAGGAAGCATATATGAAGACATTACATTTAAATGAGGCCATTCCTCACAACAGAGAAAGTAGCACAAACCAGATACAAACAAACAACAGCCTTGTATGATTCCATCATATTTTAAAGAGGGTGAGGGCGAGGGAAGAAATACAGCACAATAAACCATAAAAAATAAAGATAAGACAAAGACATTGCTTCAATGTGCTGACTAAAGTGATATGTCAAGACAAAATGAAGGATTGCCACTTTCTACCCGAGTTCCTAGAGCCATGGATCAGAGCTATACAACAGTAAGAGAGACGAGTACATAGTATGAGTTACTACAAGAGGATATTCTTTATCATATCTACGATGCTTAAGATTAATGGAACAAAGTTTGTGGTATTTCTGAAAGGACCAGATAAGGGTGTTACAAAATGTCTAAGCTTTTATCTTATAATCCATAGGATATAAACAAGTCTAACTGATCAGGGATGCGTACTCGTACTCTTCTTTTTATTTAGTTTCATGCACCCTTTGGTTTTTTTGACCTCGAAGCCAGGAAGGTTGCACTCTCCGGAAATCTACGACAAGTCCTTCTGCCACATTCATACCATATTATTCATCCTCTTCGCGCAAAAACAGCTGCTCCTCTCTGTAAAACACTGTCTCATTTAATTGTACAGTCTTCAATACAGGTAAATGGAGGCCATGGCTGAATGGCAATGATGATAATGATGACGATGACTCAACTGGCCCTGTATTGCCGTTATTACCATTATTGTTACTACTGGTGTTATTCAGGTATGAAAGAAATCGCCGTTTCATCGGTCCATCCATGACTGCCATACAAAATTCTGTAGAATCCAATCCTGGAGTTAAAAACCATCCTTCGTCTCGATATTCATGATGACACAGCTTGAGTGGCTCCTTCGACACCATTTTCCTTACAGCAGGATCAGGTCCATCTGACGTATTTTCAGACATACCAACAGTGATAGTACTTCCCGAAGTCCGGTATCCATCCAAGACCAAGCTCTCGAGGCGTCGACAGGCCCAAGGCTGCTGTTCATCCATCAAGATATTGAATTCTTGGATGTGGCACTGCATACCAGTGACCTTTAGTTTCCTTAATTGAGCGCAGCTAGTTAAGATTTTAACAAGTGCAGGCATTTGAAGCGACGGAATATTGTCATTATCCCATGCCTCTCTACGGAAATTACAGCTTAGTCGTATACATTCCAACGTCGATGCATGCTCCAAAATTGCCCCCAGCATGTATGAATCCAGTCCGTCGGGTAGACTAAGTTTTATAGATTGTAGGTGTTGAGCGCTGTCCTTAAATAAAGACGCATAGGTGGCTGCGTCCGGGAAATATCCATACTTGTGACGCATCGAGTATCCTTCAATGTAGGTCAGCTCCTTCAATCGAGGACAATACGCTCGTAAGGTTGCCGTCAATTGCTTTAGGTCAAATTCTTCAATATCGACGGTGAGCTGGAGGGATTCAAGTGCAGGACAGATGCTGGGCAACAGCACTGCAGCCCTGCTCTGACTCCAGTCTAGTAACATCTGCAGACGTGTCAGGCGAGGGAGCTCAAGTAGCGGCTTTTCTATACTAATGGAGCAGCTTTCGTTGTTGCTGTCATTGATTATACCACCGTTGCAATTTTTACTGTTTTTCGTGATCGTGATATTATTATTGTTTACGCAAGCGGAAAAAAATAAGTTCTTATCAAACCCAGCTATTGACTCCATTACCAGGGTTCTTAGCGATCCTCTTGAAGTAACAAAGATGTCGTAAAGCAGGTCATTGTTCATGATCCATCGCTTCAAATCTAATTCTTCTAAACAAGGCAGATTCTTGAGTGCTTTCTGGTATGGCAGTGCGATTTCTTTGACCATAAAATATCCTGGCCATGTGAGTTGTTTTAACTGTGACCCTTGATTGACCCAAAGTAGGCCCGACAACGTATCGGTGAGCTCATGAAGAACCAACCCAACAAGGTTTGTAGGCGGAGCGTGCTTTTCAAATGGTAAATCATCATCCTTTATTTTACCATAGGACTCATACCAACGAAACAAATGGGAGCGGGATCTGAACGCAGCGAGATGAGGAGGGTCGATGAAATGCTCAATGCAGTAGCAATAAAGGTGAGGTAGGAAGCATCGGTACCATAGACGACAAACAAGGAGACAGGGAAGCATATTATAAGCAGTGTAAAACCTGGGAGGTGGACTAGATGGGTCATATGTGGGGATCGCACGTGCTATAATATCGAGGATCTCAGGCAGATGAAGTGCTTTTTGAGTGGCGGTGGGTGACATAGTTAAAAAAAAACGATAGCGTTGAAACTTTGACGAGTACGTTGTCAAGAAGGAAGTAGAGGGAAGAAAAGAGAAGTAAGCAAGTAAGCAACAAGTGTTTTGTGACTAAATAAAAGCCACATGAGCAATGTCAACAGTTTGGCTTCGCCTCAAAAAAAATGGATCGATGATTTTTGCTCTCTGATTATCAGATCGAGCATAAGAGTGATTTATGGTAACTATCCAGGTCGGTCCTGAAATAGCCACATTCACGGTACAATATCTAGTCATGTCGTAACCCATTGAGTCACACGCTGGAAGAACTCTGTGAATTCAGAACCAATGAATCCAAACCCGTTAAGGACTATAAAATCGGTCCCAATTGGGAACAAAGAGCTTCGACTATGTTGTTTCGATGAAATATGGTTGATCAGCATACTTGGAAAGACAAAGTGAATAGCGTTCCAAAAAGGCCACTTTAAATGAATGACAATAGTGATGTATTAAAGAGAATAATCTTTTTTTGGTTAAGAATTCATCAGGAAAAAAGAATCATGGAATCAGAAATAAAGAAGTGAGGATCACATTTGTCATTTGGAAACCTTTTTTTTTCTGTTCTCCACTGCATATCATACGACGCGATATCCCAAAGACAAAGTTTGTACCATGTCCATCACCATGACAGGCTATGACCGCACAGGTCTCAGGTAAATATTTATGAAACCGCTGTTAATACTTTTTTAAGGTCATTGCATCCTAGTCTCATTCATCTCCAATTACAAGAAATCATGAACTCCATCTCTCATCTCCTTCGAATCACCACCGGCATATCTCTTGATAAAAATAATACTCTAGCGCAAGAGGCGCTCCAGTTCGAGCGAAGCACTGTAACGCCAGGTGGAAAGGCAGCAGCGCATGCTGCTACTGTTCCTCCAGAGATCATTCATTTGATCGTCAACTATCTTGATAACAAAGATCTGGTTAAAGTGATCACCCTCAATTGGACATGGGCACATATCGCTGCCGCCAAGCTGTGGCAAGAGGTCCATTTCACTGTCAACGCTCACAGAATCGTGTTCCTCATCACCAAAAGTATTCCTCCTCTTGTTCCAACAGACGAATTGCTGCAGTTATCGTCTGGCGAAACTTCGTCCTCAATTGCATCATCATCTCCAAGCGCTGATTTGAGCTCTTCGTCTCCCCCAGCTGGCTGCCTCTCATCAATGGATTCGTCGGAGAATCAAGCTCCATCAAGAAGAAATTCATATCCATGGCCAACTCTCTTGCCTTACCACTCTATGGTCCAGTCATTAAAAGTATCACTGTCGAGCACAGACATGATCCAAGACCTTATGGAAATTATTCCGTGTTGTTCAGAATTGAGATCGTTCTCAATTCAATCTGCTGTGCCCACAGAGGACCTCTTGATGCGAGGTGTCATTGCCTCTGCTTGCAATGACTTTATTGACCCATTGCATGAGATTCGTACATCTGTATCACCTGCATCAATAGCCAAGCAATTCTCTCATGCAGCCATACCACCATCTCGTCAGCATCACACTCATGTTCACACGCTCAGTGTTGATCCATACAATTTGACAACAGCTCCGCGTGCAGGGCTTCGGGCGACAGATGATGAAACTATCATGGCATCAACCACATCTCAAAGTGGGATCCTGTTTAAGCTACTGGCCAAGTCATGCCCAAAACTAGAAAAGCTGTGGTTCTCAGGTTTTCATCCAGTATCTGTTTTAGGCGCTCCAACAGATCTCAGATCTCGTCCCGCGAACAATTTTGACGCCATTTTAGACTATGATCTAGGAAAGCTATCTTCATCTCCTCATATGCATGTAAATGGCGGTGCTGAGCATGCGGGTACCTCAATGGCATTTGTTCAACCACCCATCGCAGCCACCTCTAATGACGATGGACATCACACAGTTCCATATGCAGCTAATTCTACATGTAGCACTACCACTAACCCCAGTACTACTTCTATTCATCCTTCCTGGACCAATACAGGGTCTAGTGCTATCCCACCATTACCTACTTTCACCCGCAGCAACATTTGTGGACAGTCTATGATTAACATTCTTCAGTTTGTGGACTGCACACTTCCATCACAATACCTTCTCACCATGATTCAGCATTCCCTTCCTAACCTTACAGCTCTCCATTTGACGCAATGTTGGCCAAAGGGCCCTATAAATGGATCGTTCCTAGTATCTCTAGCCAAGATTTGTCCAGGACTGCGTGATATCACGTTACATGCTACACAGTCTCATCGGGCTGTGGTCTCGTCCGAACATGTATTACAAATGTTGAAAGGTCTAGAGGATGGGCAAATACGGCGTACTGCAGAGATTGAAGCGTCTGTCCTGGGCCCAATTACATCTGCTGGATACAGGCCATATAGCAGGCTTAATGGCGAAGATGCGAGCGTGGGCTCCAGTGCAGGTGTCAATGCAGGAGCTGTATCATTAGCAGAATTCCCGTTAGGTGCTTTAAGTGGGTCAAAATACAATACCCTCTCTATCTCATCAACAGCAGCCACAGCTAGCTCATTATCTATGCCTAGCTCTAATTCGAGTTCATCCTCTGCGCTGGCCAACCTGCCGTCATCAACATTCCCACCAGCAGAGTCCAAATACAATGGTGGAGATATCAGAACTGACTCTCAGGACCAGCCTGTAGACATTTATGGGTCATTACGGTCATTGGATTCCTTGCCTCAAATAGCCTCCGCCCTCGAGTCGGTTTCAATCTGGTTTACACACTCAATATTAGACCAAGCTATTACAGATGAACTGGCAAATTCAGAGCGGCATCCAAAATTGATACGTGTAGTGTTTGGAAGCGAAGATACGTTTGATTCAGGCGAAGAGTGTATCAAACAGTTGCGTCAGCGTCGTCCAGAACTGGCCATTTGCTCTTGGGTTGGATATGGTGATGCTGGTGAAGACAACTATGATTAGATGATAAAATGATAGATACTATTTCTCTTTGTATTTTTAATTTTATTATATCCTATTGTCTTATTTATATTTATTTTATTCAGAGTATGGTTAATCTTATTCTATTTATACTATTAAGATACATGTAATGAATGAAAGCAAATATGGAGCCAAGGTTGATAAATGCTTTATTTCCTCACCTCTGCTCCGCGAAAGTGAGTGAACCTAGCAGGCACTGAGTAGATATTTTTGTCTATTGCTATTGATGCACAAAGCCCTAATAAATAGCTAGCTGGGCCCAAAGCAGCTATGTGAAAGGTCTTTTCACTCATTTTCACTTAATGACGACGCTCCCATCTGGTATGCTTTGCCGCTATTATCCCTTTGACCAATTGAGTGTGCTATTTTATATATCATTGGTGCTATTTTACCAACCAACTGAGCAAAGTGGCTTACCAATTTTACTTAACTTTCAAACCAAATTCGCTTAAGTTTTATTCAACTGTAATATCGACCCAGAGGTTCACCTCTGAGTGCTATTGATATGTTCCTATTGACCTCACGCATCCACCCACAGCACATTGAGGGGGTAATACAGTATCATATTTCGAAGACTTGCCTCAACGTGCTCTGTTAACATTTCTTGCTTATCTATCTAACTCTTGGATCCTTACATCGGCCTTAACATGACCAAAGACCCATTCAGTCGTATTGAAGCGAGGGGTATATGGGGGTAGGAACAAGAATGTAAGACCATGGCTTTCAATTACTTTTTTGATCTCTGGGCTTTTGCGGAACTTGACATTGTCCATTACTATTACCCTTGGCGCTTGGAGACTTGGGTGTATGTGTTGAGGCATGTATCCATTGAATGGTGTATATGTTGATAGATGTGTTGAGTGTGTCTAGATATATATCAACAAACAGTTACGAGTTAAAATGATTTAAAAGTGAGCACATTTGGTTGACATGTTAAGTGGAGTTGGGATTTATTTAAGCGAATCTTCTAGCAACTTAAGCTAATTTCCTAAAAATATAAGCACACTAAACTGACCAAAGGGATATCAAAGACATCTCCATGAGATATGAATACGGACGTGGTCACGTTTATCCTTCCCAATTAACGGTATATCTTAATATCTTTTCCAACAAACGATGTTAAGGAGATCTTCGATAGGATGGAACAGTGGTCTAAGTTGGAGCTCAGTAGAGTCGCTCTAAGCAAGTTCGATATTGAGTCATTTCTTCAAAACATGCCTTATACCCATATATTAAAAAAAGACGAAAAAATTAGGTGTCTGCGAAATTAGGTGACTGCCTTCGGGTACCATAAATAAGCAACAGCTTGAGCATTCACTCATCTGTGGGTAACAAGAATCTGGGTGGCAAGGATCTCATTTAATTGGAGAATGGGTATCCAGTATAGAGTGATTGGATATTGGCTGTTTTTACCAAGAGTCAAAATGTGATTCGTTGTCCCTTAATTTATTTTGAAACTTTAAATCAGCGTCCACTATGCACTGTAGATTTGTTTTACTGTTCTAATTCCTCAACACACCTTATTCTGAGTCCCTGCTTTAATTTTCCTCAGACCTTTTTTTTCATTGCTTTCGTTTATTTTATCTGCTAAAAAAAAAAAAAAAAAAAAAAAAGCCTGCCAAACGTTTTACACGTTCGTCGTCGGCTGCATCTCCTAGAAGCCAGTTGCCTACCAAGTGCCCTCGCTCTATTTATGGTGACTCGAACCACTCGGAAGCCGTTTCTCCGTCGGACAGCTTCACATCAGAGTTATGCAGACGCCAACTTCCAATCAAGCCAGCCTTCGCCATGGCCATCTCTACGTTGCTTTATCACAGTGTACTGACCCAAACAATCTTAAGGTGCTGGTCGGGAATGGAAAGGTAGAAGATAAGTCTGGGATATACACCCAAACATTGTCTTCAAGGGTGCTTTGTAGTCGCAATATCTTTGGTCTTCAGGTATTCTGTCGCTTCTTCATCTCCAAGTCATTCACGTCGACTTTCAGCTCATCTCCATTGTTATTCTATCTGATATTATTTCGCCAGATGTGTATTTTACTTTGTATTTTATTTGTATTTTACTTTGTATTTTTTTTTATATTTTACTTTATATTTTTTTCTGGTACGATAATGATAACCTATTATGTTGTTCTCACAAAATAATTTATTGAGTTTTTTACGAGGCAAGAGCAGGCCGTGGCGAAGCCACGGTCTCCGGCTCGTGTCCTTTATTCCAGCAACATTTGACTGTTGATGATTGTGAATGCATTGAATTCATGTATATTTTCTCTTTATTTGTGTACAATAGATGCAAATATATATACAATGTAGGTGGATATGGTAAAGAAGATACAATAATAAACACATAAATCTATTCACTTCTCTCTCCCTTTTCTCGCCTTCGCGGTTCCCCCTTAGATCTGGACTTTACCAATCTCGAACACTTCATAGTCTTTAGGGTATACGCCCTTAGTCAACTTCCTCTGAGAAGCAACAACAATTCTATAGACACCAGCAGGTAATTTGACAGGCACCGTTGAGGCCTTGGACTCCATAACCTGGCCTTCCCATATTCTCGGCGTAAAGACAAGATTACCTTGATCATCTACCATCTTATGCCTACCCAAGGGGCCGTAAGCTGTACCAGTCTTTGAGCTAAGGTATCCTCTGAAGACATTCTGGGAGTCATAAATACGGATCTCCCCTGAAGGTGTATGCGAGCCCAGACGAGTCAAGACCACAGGCTTCATGGACGTGAGGTCAAAGAGATAGTCGCCTTTTTTCGAGACATCGGTCAGGTTACCAGTCGCGACATTCAAAGCACTCAAGGCCGGGAACCCAAGGCTAGTATCCATGATTGGGACCTGAGAAACATCTCCCTTGAGGCCGATATAAGGAACGCTGATAGGGATACCGTCCTTGGACGTAGGGGTCGCAGTGAGGTAACCAGAGTACAAAGGGAATTGAGAGCTCTTCCCGGCAGCAGGCTCGCGGAATCGAATAGTGACGGTTGCAGACCTGCCTGCTGGAATCCTGACCGACGTGGTCGAAAATGTGACGGATGCATAGTCAGCCTCAAGGACTGGCTGTAGCAGAGGGAATGTATTGTTTCCTGGGTAAGAGTTGAGGGCATCAGCTGGTACATGCGATAAGGTGTAAGTCTCTGTACCCTTGCCATGGTTGCTAAGAGTAATCTGGACTGTTCTTTGGAGATGGTTTGTGTCCAGAAGGTCTATGTGATCTGGTGTAATGGAGGATGTGGCAGTAAGGGCATTAAATACATTGAGCAGACCAGCACCTTGCTTTGCAGCCGAAGTGTAAGTGTTTGTGATCGGATCCTTGAAGAAAGTAGCTGTGTTCTTGAAGACCTTGCGAACATCATCACCACGTGGTTTGGTTTTCTTTGCTTGAATGTAGAGAGCATGTGCGCCGGCGAAGTAAGGTGCAGCCATAGAGGTACCAGACATGACTTTGTATCCCCCCAATTTGAGAGGGAAAGCCGATAAGATGTTCCCACCAGGAGCCGAAACATCGGGCTTGGATCGTAGATCACCATCCACACCAAGGGAAGAGAAGCTTGATGGCCGACCGCCGCCCTCAACCCAGAAGCTGGCTGGTGTCTTACTCCAAGTGAGCCTGTGTTGAGAGTCTTGTTTGTAAGCGGCGATCAGCTCTGTGCCGGTCTTGTATTCAATGGATGCCATAGGGAACTCCGGGATGCCACCGACGCCTCCCAAGCCAAAAGGGATGGTCTGAATCAGAATGCCAGCTGCACCAGCCTCTTTGGCGATCGTACCGCGGTCACCAGACTTGCAGCGGGCGAGATCTCCGAGGACGAGGACAACCTTCCCCTTGACATTTAAGCCTCCGTATGCGTCCGCGTTGCATCCGTCCGCAAGTGTACCGTTCTGATGGAGCACAGGGACTAAAGTGGCAGAAATAGGGAGGTTGATGGCCTTGCCATAGGCATCTGAAGGCACATAAGAGTATCTACCTCCAGCGTATGTGAAGTAAGCATAAGTACCAACAATGTTATCAAAGGAGCCCACAGAAGTAGAGAGATCACCAAGGCTTGAGTCTGAGACCATCCAGACACCATGTTCTCCATCGTTACCAGCTGCTACAATAATGGCCATCCCTCTAGCAATCAGTTTATCGCCAAGCACAGCTGGTGGATTACTTTTGAAAGCCGATCCTCCGCCTAAGGACATATTGATCAGCTATGATATGACAAAAAAAAAAAGGTTTGTTTGTATTTGTTTGTATTTGTTTGTGTCACAAAAATGTATGCAACTTTTTTTTTCCAACTTACATCCATACCGTCGTGGTATGCGCGCTCCATTGCAGCCATGATTAGATCATCTGTGGTACTACCTGTACACCCAAAGATACGATACGCGCCCAAAGTCGCCTCAGGTGCCACGCCTACAAATGGCTGTGGAGGCTTAAGGCTGGACTTGATGTTCAGAGCATCCGCTCCAATAATACCTGCAACATGTGTGCCATGGCCTTGGCAGTCCATAGGATTTGGCCCAGGCGTAGGCTCGTTGCCACCATTGTACTCATCCCCTACAAAATCCCATCCATACGCAATACGGCAGTTCTTCCCAAAGCACCCCTTGGTGGCACCACGGCCTGCGAAGGCTGGGTGGTTGTAATCGATGCCAGTATCGATCACCCCAATTTTGACGCCTCTACCTGTCAGCTTCAGCTTACGGTGGACAATATCAACGCCTGTCATAGAGTGGTAGGAGGCTGCTGCAGGGTCCGTAGCATTGATGGCAGAAGGGCGAGGCTTTGGAATTGAGTATAAGCGGATCGGCCAGACATTTTTGATAGTGGGAATGACTGCTAAATCGTTGCCATCATGAGCTGAGAGGACAGAAATGGCTACACCATTGAAGATGCCATACTCATTCCTGACCTCATAGGAAACTTGATGATCATCCAAGGATGAGTAGGCGTTAGAGTGCATGACTCCATCCTCATACTCAATGATGAAGCCGCGAGCAACGGTTGTGTCTAATGGTGATGACATAGGATCAAAGTCGTGATATGTCCCAGCAGAGACGAGAGCCACAGCTGTGAGCACCGAGACAATAGTGTTGATGGTCTTCATTTTTCCAGGCTAAGTAATATCTGGATTGATGATTGGGTGGCGAAATGTGTGCACTAAAAAATAACGGCCTCTCTAATTGAGGTCTTCTCTAATGATAAAGGTAAAGAGTAAAGTGATGATAAAGGGGTCGATAGCGCTAATTGAATAGATGACGAAGTTAGGACAAGAATATGAAGATCAGAAACAAGTCGATCGGAGTAGAAGGAAATGATAAGTTGAATGAAAATATGAGAGAGAAACAAGATCCTTTTTATATCTGATCTGTGGATGCGTGCGCGAGTGGCTGTGTAACAAACCAGAACTCCGAATCTAAAAAAAAAAAAATGCATTCGAAAGACGTACATCAACTTATGGCACTCCATTTATTCTGAGTACTGATTTCATTTGTTGGGCGTGTTTCATTTCATTAGACACACTACAGGGCTAGGTATTCCCAAGGAAGAAATGATTAGGGCAATAAGCAGCCTATAATTAATGATGACCGAAATGAACAACATCCTGTCATTTATAAGTTTTTACCATTGACAGTGTGGGTTTTTTCTGTTGTTGCCCTCATGGAACCGTATTTGAATTGGTAGGCTAATAAAGCTCAAATGCAGCTACGTACATCCCAAGCCCCATATAAGCGCCCATGCTCCGCCCAAGCTCATAGTAAGTTTTCGATGTTTTGGATGTACCAGTTACTGTGAGCTTGATAAGTACCATTGTTCCCTTCATGCAGCCCACTGCAATGCTTTCCCCTCAGCCTTTTATTTTACAATGAGAACCACCTTTGAACAGAGCCTCTATTTAATTTCTGCCATTGAAACTCTTGTTGCTGTTATTTCATACCTGCTTTAGAATTCTTATATGGTTCACCGCTAGGTATTTACTTCCCTGCCTTCGTTCCGTCTAAATTAACTAAAAGAAACCTTTCTCTTTAGTTTATCGCTCATTTTGTCTTCTGCTGATGAAAATACTGCTGAGCTTGGAAGATGATCCTGTCTATACTGAACCTGATGCTTTACTATACCTTTATTCGCTTTAAGAGACGCGATGCAGTCCTGCCTTTCATGAGCGAAAAACATAGGAGTTCTTTTTATTTATTATCTATCTCTATTTTCCGTGGTGCTGGAGAAAGTAAGCGCTAAAGGAGCCGACTTTCTCGATAACTGTGTATTAATTAAGATGCTTGAGACAGCATCAATGGCATTCGAGTTCAGAACCTATTCCAAGTAAGGCAGGCTTTGGCCATGAAATCTTCAAACTGGTTTCCAGAAAGTGAGCTAACCAAATTAGTTCGATTGCAGCGTGTGCAACGAACGCTGTAAGCACGTTTTTAACATCTTAAGCACGAAAACACTTCTTCTAGCGTACCGGGTTAGAACTCTCTTTTTTTTTTAGCTAGGAAAACATTGGGCTGGGGACTTTAGTTGGAGAGATCTGATTTGGCGCAAGGTTCAGATCTTTCTGTACAAATGTGCGTGCAAATGTCCACAGGACAATATATCTATGAAATTTATATACATCGTCACTGAGAGACATTCCAGCACAGAAACAAGATCTCCAAAAGGTGGCAGTGCGAACTTTAAATTGGCTGAGTATGTTTTCACCAAAAGTGCGAGACGAGTGGCTGCAAAGCTTTGTTTGGAGACAAGAATAGGAATTGAGTTTTGAATGTTAATTACAAATAAAAACTTGTGATAGATGCATTATACTGAATAAACAAAACATGCGAACTCCAGGGCACTCCATTTTAAATGTCTTGGTGAAGATAATGGCCGCAGAGTCCATGCCTGGCCTCTTCACTGCCACAACCCATCAGAAAGGCTCTCTTTTTTGCTGAATCTTTGATGACAGAGTCAACGCACTTTTCTACCAACGCTTTTGTTTTGATTTCCGCTGTTTTGGGATTAAGATACCAAATAAGGAAGCCTATGACGATCGGCCACAGCACTGCCATCCGCACTCTTTCATATAAGTACAGCTCGTTTATTTTAAAGTCATTTGTGCCACCTTGTTCCTGAATTAAAAAAAAAAAAAAAAAAAAAAAACTGACTAATCACTGGTTTTCGTTTCACCTTCCTCCACCAAAAGCCATGACGATATATCCAAGAAGGTAACTTTTATTATTTTTTCTTTATTAATCTTCGATAAGAAAATCAATTCAGGAGTACCTATTTTTCTGTTTGCCATGGTTTAGGTTGTGGAAGCTTTTCCTTTCCTTTTGTCGACCAGGATCTAATTTTTGATGTGTTCTTCCAATTTCTCGCATTGGTCCTTCAATCTAGTGATGTTAGTCCCACAGAAAAGTATGATTTGGTCTGACCAGTCGATAATTTGAGTGCGGGCTTCCGTCACCGAGATTTGTTCATAGCCAGGTAAGATATAATCTTTCGTACACGGGAACAGACCCATGGCGATCAACTCAGCTCTGATTTGGTCATAATCATCCTTGCCACAACAACCAAAATAGGCCTTTGCAGCTATGGCATGTGTAGAAGTAATTTTAATTTCATATCTCTTGATTTGCTCGGTAAGGTTACCAATCATATCACAGAGTTGCTTGAGTTGCTCTTTGCCCATCTTTTGAGGATAGTCGGTTCAGATATGTGGACGGAGTAGCTTGGGAATAAATATGATACGAGCTTCGCTAGAACAAGACTTTAGAAATGTGGTTGCGTGATAGAGAAGAAAGAGGTAGGGGACAAGAAATTTAAGTTTTATATTTGCTGAGTTCCTATCGCTCCCCTCGGTTTCTCTTTGTTGGTAAGCACGAGGTTCACGACATTTTTATTATTCAAGTGGGGGTAAAGGGCCGTTAACAAAAAAGAGAAAAAGAGAAAAAAGAGAAAAAGGCTGAAAAGAGTGAGCATCGAAGCTTGTAGATCGCTGTAAGGATCAAAATTGAAAATATTAACACAAAGATCTATTAATTTGCAATTGGACAAAAACATTTAAGCCGTAAAGCTATATGCACTTTGGCTTGGTGAAATAGGGCAAAAGGCTAAGTTTTGCTTCACCACCTAAATAGCGACTATTCAGGTAAAACGGTTTTCATCCAGGTGCGAAAGCCTCGCTGCCTGTTCCGTTAATAAACTCCCTGAAAGCTGTTAAATATTTTGCGCTACGGCCATTGTTGTCTTTTCTGATTTCTCCAAATTTTTTCTTTTTTACCCACTAACGACATCCTCATATACAGTACTCTTTAAATCTTTAAGACTAGCAACCCCAGAGAAGACAAAAGATGACTGGAATAGGTGCTGGATCCAACTCTGATCAACTCAGTTTCCCAAGGAAGTTGATCCAAACTTCGCGCATGATGAACGATTGCGAAGACCAAATCAAGACTCTCGAACGCCTGATCCATACATGGGATGAACTGGTGGCTGCAAAGCCGCCATCCGATGAACCTAACACGCTAGACGCTTCTGAACGACAACAAGCCATGGGGATCTTGGCAAATCTGAGGTCTCGCCTAAGGATTCAACTGGATACCAAGGCCAGCCTTTTAGCGTCTATGCGGAGCCTTATGGACGAACACCGTGGACAAGCGCGACGCCAGTGACTAAATTCATTCCTTTTAAAAGAGGGAAAAGAAAGAAAGAAAACTAGGAATGACCATAAAGATTATGCATATCGAATGCGCTTAGATTATCAATCAACAATAAAAATCTGATTACATTCTTCGCAGAGTTCTTTGATTACGCTCCCGAATTATGTTTTTCTGCGGTGCAGTGATAATACCCCCGATCCTTTTCCTCCTTTCGACTTGTCTAAACTGAAAATCCGCGAAAGCAAATCACCACCTTTTTTGCCATGGCAGAATTAGTTTTATGGCCCTTTATTAGACTAAAGCAAGTGGGGCGAAAGCACAGCAACAAATACTATAGTGGAGTATCGATGGAGCAGCGCAAAAAAGCCGGAGAGCGCCGCTTAATCCGCCTTGTAGGGCCTTCTCCAGGTATATATCAGCGTGGATCCCATATATATTGTGGTCAACAGAAGGAACAAGAGAAGGCATGAAGGGGTGTGGCAAATAGTTTTCCTTTTGCAAAGCCGCAATGCCGACATAGCTTTCACTTAAGTTCTCTTCTCTTTTCTTTGCTTTCTAAATAATTTCTTCATTAACTTCATTTGATCTCTAACCTCATCGGGACCGTACACACACTTTACTGTTTCCCAAATCATCTTCCCCTCTGCTCATTATAACACTAGCCAGGAGAGAGAATCAGGAGCACTAAGCCGGAAAAAAAGTCTCCTTACACTAGGGATTTCGGACTCGAAGGATGGATATCTGTGAACGACGGATCGAGACACTTGGGGGCTTGATCGAGATTTGGGAGCAACTTATAGCCCAAGGCCGATTTCCAGAAATCTTGGAAGGAGTGGAAGGAACAGGAACCCCGACTATAGCGCCAAATGAATGCCATGGAGGCCCGCATGATGCACTCCAACAAGCAACAGAGACTGTGGAAGGGCTGAAATCTCTTCTCAAGTATCAGTTGAAGATCAGATCTGAACTCCAGAAAAATGCGGAGGTTGTTGAACAAACACAAGAATTACTGTAACCGCGGCCTTTCCTTGTGATAAAAAAAAACTCATAGCCGGGCCGTGAACAGAAATAAAGCCTTGTGGTCTTCTCTCACAACCAACCATCTTGTACACCTCTCTATGCTCAATACTTTTGAACAGTAGCAAAGCTAAACTTGGCTACTTGTGATTTTTATCTCGCGTTACCTCTATTGTTATCAATAAATGATCTTAAAGCTTTTGGAAGTGCACCTAAAGCGCTCTTAGCTATCGAAATTTAAGTACCACTCAATTATCATGACGACATGCTACCGTCTGTTCCCCCCTTCCAACCATAACTACGTCGCCACAGACCTATATGTCTTGTTAATAGTTGTTTGGTTACATAGGTTTGTGTGGACTTCCTTTCCCATAGTTTGGTCGAAAAAGCTCTGGAAACCTCTTAAGTATAGCGCGTCCGAAAAATGACTTCTTCCCAGTCTAGGGCAACTGGAGTGTTTTGTGGGCTGCGAGGCGGTTACATTCGATCAAAGGCGTTAATAATGGAAGAGCGCGCCGTGCCTCCCGAAGAGACTCAGTCATTCTTTGTCGTACATATCTTTTTTTTTTTTTTTTTTTTTTTTTTTCGTTCAATAAAAGGGAGGCGGAGATATAGTTTAATCACCTGAGAGCAGGAGAGGCTTTTCCTTTGAAGACACATATTTTACTAACAGGGATAGATGTAGACTATAAGCCTATACGGAACTGTTAAACACACTTGGAAAAGTTGCTGATCGTATCAATCAACCTGATCAGTTCACTGAAACAGAAGACCAATTATTTGCTCGGAGCTGACAAAGAGCCGTCTTCGTTCGACCGCGGTATCCTTGATCACCCAAAGGTCACGAAGCGAGAGCTTAGAAAAATAAAAAGCAAAGATAGTGAGTAATTTGCACTTTATACTCACTCAACTTCTAACTTCGCCTTAACGTCCAAATAACTCACCGAAGCCGCAGCTGTATGTATAGCTTTTGATACGCCAAGATCATTTTATTTCTATGTAATAAGAGCTACCACATAGCTTCCCTAAGGATTGGTTGTTAAATATCTTGACTCTTTATCAATAATGTCATCTAGGCATAGATCAGCCTTTCATAATCATGGCTACAAAAATGATTGTTGTCCTAGTTGCCAATGAGCCAGGAAAATCAGTCATTGTGCCATATGACCCCATAGAACCTACTTCCTATATGATACAGCGGATTTCAGCGTGCTTGAATGAGCGCGATGATGATATTTCCAGCCGCGAGCTCCATATCGATGGGATCCGCCTTGAAAACACCAACGATTCAATAGGTCACTATCGTCCCTCAGATAGCGCCCTCACTTACCGATCTCAGAAAAAAAGCGACAAAGTGATCTTCGTAAAGACGTTGACAGCCAAAACAATAGCTTTGCCGTTTAAGCCTAAATATACAATCGAGAGCATTAAAAGCATGATTCAGATCCATGAGAATATTCCTTCAGACCAGCAAAGACTGGTTTTCCAAGGAAAGCATCTTAAAAATGGAAGAACTCTGCAGGATTACAACATCCAACATGGATCGACTTTGCATTTTATATTACATTTGAAAGGTGGGGCTTTTGAGCCTGGCCGTGTCCTGTTCGCGGACATATCAAAAACTGCAGGAGTTCAAAAACTACGCTTTTTTAAAAAGGCTCCTCTTGGCCGTGCTGCATTGTCTGGAACGAATGTAGAGTGCGAATGTAGTTGTACTCCAGGCTACCGAGTGATCTGTCCAAAAGGATTTAGCATGATTGAGCTGTCACAGGCAAAGTTGGAATGCCCTAACTGTCATAAGAGTGGTAACAACATTACCCCTGTTACGGTTGGGTTCAGAGCATGCAAGTACCGGTTCCACGGCCTCAAAACCAGTGGTGAATCGCACACCACCAGTTGGACCATACTGACGGACAAAGATTCATATCATCAATTTAATGCAGACACGCAAATCGAGTGGAACCGATTGGTGATCGAATCTTCTAAGCCATACGAAAAGGATTATTGCGCCATTTGTCTGGAGCATATGAGCTTCACAAAAACCCTTGATTGCGGTCACAGGTTCCATCACAATTGCTATGCAAAATGGAACGCGTCTTGTCCAAGCTGCCGATACGATCAGCGCCTAGTCGACACGCAAAACCCATAGTCCAGAGAGCCTTCCGACTCTGATTTTCTCTGAGCACTCGGTTTACTCGGCCTTTTTTTTTTTTTTTTTTTTTTTTTTTTTCGATTTTGATAGCGGATGGGCCGGATGGTTAATAAATCACTTTCCTCATTATCCAATGCCCATTCTCCCTGGGCACCGCTCCTTCCTTGGACGACATTAGAAAAAGAGGCGTAGTTGGTGTGGCTTGGGCAACAACAATTATTATCCCACTGTTTCGAAGCGACTCAACTACATAAACGCCAATGCTTCGTACGATCCAGCAACATGTACAAGTACAATAAAGTGTTCCCTCAATATGACTCAAAAGCACTTTAGCTGCCTGTTAAGACTTGCAGCTACTCAACATGCCGTAGGCTCAATATACTAAGAGGAGGAAAATGGTCCATAAAGACTATGTTGAGACTGAGCATTAGTATCAAAAACTTCAGACCGAGTTGATATTGGCGCGCTCAGGAGAAAGCTGGGCCGACACAAGCACTCAAACTTTGGATGTGTTGGATGTATTTAATTGAAGCGTCGCAAAATGCACTATCCTCATTAAGAGATTGTAAATTTTGCAGATGAAGACAAGTAGAGTATTTTTGCGGCAGCGGAGCCGAGTTTATTATGAATGCATACAAGCGGAGTTGCCATGATGGACCTCTGTCGCCTATGCGACAATGTCTGTATGTTTTGATCCATTACTTTGCATCGTTTAATAAACTGCATTAAAATGTGCATTCCAGCAATGCGCGTCGACGTGACGTGAGAAAATTTTTGGGGACCCGTTGTCAGTCAATGAGAAAACGTGCCTCTCTTGCTCCATTGAACATTCTTGCTTCATTCATTTCTTAATTTCTCTCTTCTAAAAATGAACAATCTAGTCCTTTCACTGTTCGAGTCACCTGAGTTGACAAAACTTGTGGCTCAATACTTGACAGTCCATGATATCGCACACTGTATCTTGACATGCAAGACCCTCTCAAGACTTTTTGAGCCCTATTTATGGCGCCAATTACTCCTAAGGAATCATAGCCACTACAATATCCTTCCTCGCAATCCTATCAGCAACATCAATAATGGCAATCGTAATGATAATGCTAGCCGGTATCACCTTAATTATCAGTTCCTATACCAGAACAATCCACTCTTACTCTGCCCGCCGTCAGGATTCTCCAGGAACCGGCACCATCTCCATTATTTCATCGACTTGGCTGAAGGAGAAGCCCCCATTGAAAAATATCTCGAGATCATGGTCGATGGCTTACCTTTACTTCCTGCACTGTCGGACTCTGCAGAGGCTTCTACACCGACACACGAAGCTACCGTCGCGACATTGACAGAATCTCTTTCCACGACACTTTCTTCCACAAGTAGCAACAGTATGATAAATCTCCGGGAACTCAAACTCTCACACTTGACTCGGTCCAGGATCGATCCTTTATCCATTTCGGCTCCAGTGAATCATCTACTGCTCCTTCGGATATTACATTCCAACTCAAATCTGACACACTTGGACCTTCCTGTTACAGTTCTAACTCAGGATCCATTGCTGGTTCAATGTTTTCTGGACGTCATATCGACCAATCTTCAGCACTTACAGCGATTAATATTAAATGGCACTTCCGCTCACTCTACCAGTAGCAATAATACTGCTGGGGATATCATATCTGCAGAGACATCAGTCCAGTTTCTAGGCACATGTTTACAACATCCTCGACTACGGGATCTCCAGTGCAACTTTACGATGGATGATAGCAAAGAGACAACATCTTGGGGCGGAAGAACACCTACACCAATGTCGTGGTCGCATGTAGAGAGTGGACAAGACCAAGGAGGACAACAGCATAGTGGAGGGAGAGGACGAGAGGAGGAAGAGCTAGAAGAACTATGCTCTGAATATTCATATGAATCCTTCAATAGGATACCCAACTACGAGACTCAACTATTAGGACTTTTGAAGACCCTGTCTGTTGCGGATCGGGCTAAAGAAGAGGCAGGACTTCCAACAGCTTGTCCACTCTTGGCACTTAAATTACCAGCCACTCGGTTCGGCTATCCGGATTCGTTCTTAGATCGATTCTTACTATCACTCGAAAACCTAGAGCGACTAAACATCACAGATATCTTGGAGGGGCATGAAGATGAATTGGAGCCATTGGTGGAAGAGTGTTGTCCTAAATTAAGGCATATCGATTGTAGTTTTGATTACACTCAATATAGTGGGAAACCCATCATATCGGTGATTCATGGATGTGCAACTCATGCAGGACTTATCTCATTTAGGGGCTTTGGGTATGATGATCAAGAGGATGAGGAACAGGAAAAATACTACAAACCATCGACAACGTCATCATCATCCAGAAAAACAATAATACCAACTGTGGTCCAAATTCTTGTACATAAACACTCAAAAACACTTGAAGTGATTGAGCTTCCGAATTGTGGAGCCATCCGGAGTAAAGATTTACAATTAATCCTAACGACCTGTCCCCGGCTTCGACGGTTGTGGGTTTGGCCAGAAAATAATAATGGGCAGATCGCATTGGAATTTGTAGATGTGGTCAAAGATGAATGGGTCTGTTTGGGTTTGGAGGAACTACAGTTGACATTGACTCGACAATCGGACGACCATAGCCAACTTACTGGTTCAGCTGATCATTCGATAAAGGGGAAAGAGACAATGCCATATTATCTTCGACAGCCGGTCACGAGGCGACGAGGAGAAAGCTACTCATCCTTCTCTTCTGACAGACAGATGGCCCAAATGGCCAAGGAAGTCTATGCTCAAATCGGTCGACTGATCAACTTGCGTAGCTTAGTCCTTGGATGTGATAAGGATGAGCCATCAGACCTAGAGTATTTTGCCAAAGATTTGACATTGAATCGAGGATATCTATCTGAGCTCTCGAAGCTGAAAGAGTTGAGACATTTTGGAATGACGACCAATTTTTGGTTGAAGATGCGACAGGCAGAGACCAAATTCATGCTCAAACAATGGCCCAAGTTGGAGAGGATTACATTCGGAGAAGACAATTATCATTTCCTTAATCATGGTGGAGGTAGGAATGGGAGCCGGCATTTTCGATCTGCTTATGGTCATGGTTATGATTATAGCTGTAGCGCTTTGCTCTCTCAATTAGCCGATCTGGATATCGCGGACGAGGACCATTGGCAGTTGATGCAGGAGAAGCGACCCTGGCTACGATTTGTACAGGCCTCGCTATATAAGAAACAGAGGAGCTAGACAAAGGGCAGAACTATATTCATAAGATTACCGAACAACTCGACAGAAAACTGGACTACCAAATCAAATAGCCTTGAGCAAGGCAATTTAGTCCAGTTATTATCGAAACTTTGAGGCTGTAGCTGCCACTATCTGGATTGCACCCTCTTCTGAAGAAAGGGGATCTGAAGTGCATGAAGAATAGAGAAACGTATATATATTACATGTACCATATAATAATATAATATATTATATATATTTTTTTTTTCTATAAATAAAAAAAAAAAAAAAAAAAAAAAAAGTAATTTAAAGTGATTGATTCCAAACTATTCTATGCTGATATTTTGATCAGCTCATAAGGAAGAATGATGGTGGGAAGATCATCGGCCAAACCGTCCGAAAAACCACTTCCTTTTGGGCTTGTTGACACCAGGTGCTACAGTTGACTTTACATTCTCTCGTTGGACCCGTGCTTGCTCAGTGGCGCGTTGGATGATATTTTCGTACCATTCCTCTAAGGTTCGTCCGTTCAAGAACGCAACGATGATCATGGTCATGTTATCTGTGCCTGTGTAATTAAGAGGAGTGACCTCTTTGGGTAGACATTGATCCATCAGTCTTTCGCAGATTGTCTCTAGTGGGACTTTCTCAACAACTCTATTACGAACAAAGTCCACCACTCTTTGTGCACCTATGCAGTCCCATATGCCTTTACTCACACACGCAATTTTAATAAATATAAAAATAAAAGAAGACAAAAATTGATTATTCATAAATCTTGATAAGGTCCTGTCCTTTTCTTTTTCTTCCCGTTTTTCGCTTTTACCATCGCAAGCAAGGACCATGAATTCATCCTTCTCGGTTAGTTCGCGCTCCATGACATCGGGTATTGCTGACAAGGTAAACATAATGAGTCAGAGAAAAAAAAAAAAGAAAAATGGCTAAAACATTAGGTATTTTTTATCTAGAAATACAGATGCCTTCCCTTTTTTTTTTTTTTTTTTTTATACGGATTTATTTTATCCTTCAATACCGATGACAATTTGCTGATCAGGGTCGAGCATCTCATTTGACTTGTAATCGAAATCTCCGAAGGCTCGAGAAAGGGCCAAGGAGCCATTGACCCTACCGGAAGAGACATAGCCTCCAGCATTGTTGATCCTAATAGACTCATCTGATAAAAAAGAAAACGATATAGGTGGGCATGGGGCGGGGATAGGAGGAAAAAGAAAAAAAAAAAAAAACATTATCTACCTATGTTATCAGGCTTGTGTTCGTGTGACAAGGAAATGAATTTTCCATCACAGCTTAGGATTGCACGAGAATCGCCTAGGTTTCCCTAAGTGTCAGTTAATATACAAGTAAAAAAATTATGTCAAGGAATGGTACTTTTAAATATAATGGAAAGTCACCCTTTGGGCATTTCAATGTGAAAGTTGATATATACTTGACAGTATTACTTACAACATAAAGAATGTTTTCATTGTTGATCATGGCAGTAATAGCTGTGCATCCCGAAGGTTTGCTACGTGCTTCTGGATCTTTTTTTTTTTTTTTTTTTTTTGTGATTTTTGGTTAATAGATAAAACTACATTTGTCTTGTTTAAAATAAATGTACAAAAATAGCATTCGAATTCTCATCCATACTATCTCGGAGAGCTTGGTCCATGGTCAGGAATCCATCCTTGAACGCACTTTTAAGATCGCCTTTAACGAATGTAGGCTCAGAAATAATCTTTTTGTGGAGGTCCTTGCTACAGATCCTAGCAACCTCAGAACCTTTTTTTTTTTGATTATTTTTTTTATAAGGCGAATTTTCATTAGCCACTCATCAATAATAGAAAAAAAAAAGAAATTGAAGATTCTTTACTCTTTTCTTTTATAAAATTTACCTCCATGACCGTCATAAACTGCAAAAAATGCTATCCCCTCAGTGCTTTCGACAGCCAGCAGTGTTGTATGTGCATCATCCATTGCTATAGAGTTGGTTTTTTTTATTTTTATTTTTTTTATTTCGTTAGTGTACAATTAGAACACTAGCCCCACCATCCACCGGTCTATCAGGCTCGATCTTCCAAATAAACGCAATGTCCCTCCCTTACTAGTACGCCATCCCTGCATAGCAGATGCACCATATGCAAAGCGCTCGTTTTTCCCACAGGTTGAGTGCTTCTCGGTTACAGGAGCAGAGAGGATTTGGCCCATTGTTGAAATGAACTGGAAACGAATGAAAAGAAATGGAGAACAATAAGGTTCAAGGGCGAAGGGCGAAAGGCGAAGGGCGAAGGGCGGGGGGGCTAAAACTGCTGATTTTGGTGGTGCATCGCCACCAAAACCCATGACGCACAGAAATTTAAATCATGTGACTTATATGTCTGTATTATCCAGCCAATCAGCGTTGCTTGCGATGATGCACATATAAATAGATGAAGAATCTTGCAAATCAATCATTTTAGTCTTTCAGGACTTTCAAACATGGCTCTCCATCCTTTTGACATTCCTCATATTCTAGAGAATGTTTCTCAATACCTATCGTCCCATGAGTTGGTGCAATGTGTTTTGGTTTGCAAGGATTGGTCTCAATATTTCACCTCGTTCCTTTGGCAGGAAGTAGACGCGTGGCAGATATCAACCGAGGTTCAGCTCACTGCGCTGCACCGCCATCAAGTCCATGTGCATACACTCAATGGCTTCCCCCACGTCAAAGGCATATCTGCCGAAACATTCCATCAAAGCTGGCCCTTCCCTAATCTCCGGAAGGTGGTATATCGGCCACGCAAGGCATCCCATTTTAGGCCATCAATGACTCTGGTACTGCAGTGCTTATCTCACCTAGAGTCAGTGGAGACACTTGAGCTGGGTGAATTGTTTAAAATCAACAACAGCAGTGGCAGCAAGAAAGACACCAAAAAGAGCGTTTTCGCGGCTATTAGCGACAGCAAAAACATCCTGAAGGAAAGGGCCGAAGTGTGCAACGAATTGTTCAACCTCCTTACAAAATCACTGCCTAAACTAAAAAACTTTTCGCTACTTCGCACAGAGTTTTATCCAGAATTCATACCGCGCATCTTGGAAGCTTGTTGGGACTGTCCAAATGTTTCCTTTGAGTTTATTCGGACACGGTTGGATATGACTCCGTTTCAAGCGGAGGCAACTATGAGGGTGATTGAGGATATGCCTCCAGCTAATATTGAAAGGCTTCATTTGAGTTGCGGCAAAATGACAGGCTTCTTTGGCATGTTTCCGTTCCTAGAGATATTGAGAGCTTGCCCAGATTTAGAGGAATTGAAGATCACTGGAAAGACTCAGTCCTACGATTTGCGAAGCTTGAGAGAATTGTTCAAAGAAAAGCATTTCGCGCGACTTAAGCACCTACACTTGGACACCTATGATTGGGTTGACAGCCATGAGCCATTTCTGATCGACCTGTTCAAATTCTCAGGACAATGCTCTTCTTGTAGAAGCAGTAGCAGCAACAATGATCACATCCTGAGCCGCGACAACGATGAGAACTACGATAGTTGTGGTGAAACTAAGGATTGTGAAAACTGTGGTGGCGGACTTGAATCTCTAACAGCATTGACGCGTGTAGCAAGCACGCGGGCTCTTGTGGAGTATCATTCTGCCACACTTACCAAGCTTAAGCTCGAAGACTGTTCGATCGAAGTGCTTTCGATTGTCCTCAATGGTTTGCCGAATCTTAAGGCTTTGGAGGCTTATGTGTATCTTGGGAAAGATGCGGAAGAACAAGTTGATGAACTCATTGTAGATAGTGTGGAGTCATCCCCATCATGGGCATGGTGTGGATTGAAGACTTTGACACTACAAATAAGCTCGTCTGGTATAAAGTTCCCAAAGCATTTACCCAGCAACATTGATTCATGGACCGAATTATTAGAGGCGGAATCGCGACTCAAATTACTCTTCTCAATTCTGGGTAAATTGGAACAAGTTGAGAAGCTCTTTCTTCGACCTGATCAAGACGAGGATAAAAGTGTTGATCTTGCCGAGATTTTTCTACTCAGACGTGGGCTCCTGCAACGACTCAAGTCACTCAAACAATTGGAAGAACTCCGTTTTGGAGATGCTTCATCTCTCGATCTGGGTGAGTGTGAAGCTAGATGGTTCGCAGAGAACTGGCCAAGCCTGAAAGCGATCACGCAGGACTATTTTGATGAAGCGGGGATTGCATTTAAAGAGAAGATGGCCATTCTACGGCCACGTGTAATTGTATCATCATGGTTTGACTCAAAGGCCAAAGGCAACACTAAAGTTAAAAGAGAAAGAAAGAAAGCGCCAGCAATGTGAACTGGCTACTACTTTGCTTCAGATGTCTTGGATGCTTTACTCGAATATTATAGTGATTGAAACACCAAAGGCACATGGAAAATAAATGTTGAATTTGGCATGACTTTTGATCGGCGTTTGATATTGCTGTAAAGGCCTGTGCAAGCTCTACTGTGCTCTCGAATTAGTGAATGATCCTCAATCTCCTCCACAGTTATCTAGTCTTAATTGATCTTCTTCTTCTGTCGGGAACTCGGTGGTGGACTTTTTACGTTTTGAATCAATCAGCCCTATCACAAACTTTGTTGGATTGCAAGCCCGCTGTTGGCCTGGTGATGCAAAATCGAATAATATCCCGGCTGCTCAGGCTACTCTAAAAAAATACGTCTTTCATCAATGCCTTGGCCTCCGTATTGTCTTTTGCTGTTATGATGGATGAGCATAGTGTTTTTGAAAAATGTGCTCAGTCAGTGGAACTTTAAAAACAATTAGTGCAAAGCTCAAATGACTTGTGATGCTTCATCGGATTTGTAGAGGAAAGTGTTATCTACTGTACACAGTAATCAATCAATTCTACGGAAATACTTTTGACCAAGATGGTCTTGTTGCAAAGCATCTCAATTTTATCAGCTTACTGTATTAGATGAGATGGCTGCTGCAGAGGTAAATGCTATCTTGAGCTCCAATCATCAGTAACGTTCCTATTGAGTACTCGACTCTTTTTGGAACATCACTTCGTAACGTTCACTACTTTTAATGCCGGCAGGCGTTCAACCAAGTGCCTTTTAATCCTCTTTAATAGGACCCTGAATCTCAGAGCAAGTTCCTCCTGGCACCTTCTCAAGTCCTAAAAGCATAAAATACAATGTTGGTTTCAGTATTGACTTTATTCATGATAACGAAGGCATTGGTCAACGTCAGTCAACAGATAGTTACTAATGAAAGAATAAATGGCCATCACAGGAAATCAATTCACTATGGATACTTTGCAAGCTACACTTGCCATCTGATCGAGAGCTGTTTTACTTACTTTTCCAAATGATACTTTATCGATACAAGAGGTTGGTGTCGACGTTGGAGTATGAGCATTTGGAACGGTCTCCAGGGTTCAAATGATTGAAGGAATTAAGTTTTACCGATATTTTTTCTCCTCGTAATTGGAGATCGAATCATCGAAGCAAACCGGTTGTACTTGAATAAGATCAACTTGAGAAATATTTACTGATGGTGCTGTGGATTGCAATGAGCTTAAAGAGCTTAAAGAGGGGATGGAAGCTCTATGACTATGGTTTAGGGGAACGACTTTCTTGTAAAAAAAAAAAAAGTAGAGTTAAGTAAGCCAGGGATCTCAGGGGCAATCAAATATTATTGTTTCCAGAATAACGGATTGTCATTGGGCAGAGCACGGTGTGCGTACAACAGCCCTTCACATTGTGGATGGCACCCCTTTTTTCTCTGGCATGGCACACAGACACAGGCACAGACAATTTCTTGTATTGACAAATGAGCAAAATGATGACGAGCAGATAAAAGACCGAGTGTTGTTCGTCATGCTTGTCATGCTGTGCTCATCAGTGCTCTTGTTTGTACTCACTCTTCCTCCCATCCTTTTCTTTAACCCTTTTCTAGTTTCTAGCCCCTACATTCGTTGCATGTAGACACATGCTTGCGCACACATGCAACAGCTCATGTCCATTTGCCAGGAGTTGACATTGCACTTCCGCTGAAAAAGCAAAAAAGGGGACAGTGGTTATTGTTTTTTGTCAACATGTCAATATGCACTTATCAGCTGAGACAACGTTGAAACGAGAGTGTGCATTGTCCAATTGTGTATGTAGAGGATGCATAAAAAAAAAAAAAAAATTTACCCTGCTCTATATACCCTCTTTGTCCTTCACTCTCTTTACCCTTTTTACCTTCTCTCTTTCTTTTTTTGCACCTTGCTCGACCTTTCCTCTCCAATAACCTCAGTTGTGCCTGTTGTTTTCTTCCATGGTGTCGTTTTGCTTTTGAGATTATACCCAATACAACACTCAATTGAAAAAATTGCCAATATAATAATAATAATAAGAATAGTAATATCAATAATAACAATATTAAGCAGCAACTACACCATCTACCGTATTAACTTTTGTCGTACATTTCGACATACTTTCAATGCCAGTCTACTCAAACCCTGACGGACTTGTGGCTGACTTTTTACGTCTCGTCAACTCACCTCTTGGTGCAGATGTGCGTTTTATTGTCGGTAAGTTTATAAAGGCGACAGAAGAAAGAAAAGACTTCCTTATTCTCAACAAAATATGGCGCCTGTCCCCCATCCTCTTCCTCCTCTTCCTCCACCTTCCTCCTCCTCCTCCTTTTCTTCTTATTCTTCTATCTTGTCCACTCAAACGCACACGCCTTCTCTTCCTTCTTCCTTCGCCTTCCCGTCTACTGTTTTATTTCCTATTCTAATGGACTTGACTCTGTCTTCGCTTATGCAATGTTCTTTACTGCTCAAAAAAAAAAAAAAAAAAAAAAAAAATAGGGGAGGAAAAGGTGGTCATGCATGCCCACTCTTTGATCTTGCAGGCCAGAAGTAGTTACTTTGCACGCGCATTGAACAGTGACTGGAAGGAATCCAATCAAGGCGTGATCTACAAACCCAACATCCGCCCCGCCGTCTTTGAACGTGTTTTGCAATACATCTATGGTGCAAAAATCATAATCGATGATGGGAACGATGAGATGATCATGGAGCTCATCAAGGCTGCTGATGAACTCTCTCTCGAAGATTTACTACATGGATGCGAAGAGCATGCGTCGTCTACTATCTGTCGGACCAACGTACTGGATATGGTCCATCTAGCCTCTCAACATAACTTGAAACAGCTCAAGCCAGAATGTCTGGACTTTATTGCCATGAACATTGACTATTTGAAGAGAGGAAAGCCTATTCTGACCTTGGATGCTGATGTGCTGAAAGATATTTTGTCAATGGATCAACTGGATTTAGACGAACTGGAGATCTGGAAGATTGCAGTTCGCTGGGCTTATTATCAACAAGGTTTACCAGACTGGGATCAATGTCCGCTCCTAGAGTTCCCCAAGGGCTCAGGATGTGTGATTGTTCAACCTATAGCCGACGATGGCTCCGTAGAGTACCAGGATGGCCTTGATGGGACTGGAGAAGAGGGCTATATTGACGATGAGGACGAGGATGACCTTGGGGATGCAAGGATCCCCATTCGTGGAACCAACATCCGAATTGAACAACAAACACAGAAACAAAACCATTCAGATCAAGATGAAGATGGGTTAACGCACCCTACAACATCTGTCTTTCAACTTGCCACGTCTCATAAAGTGGTCCAGATGCCAGTCTCGGTCCATGAGGGCCTTCGGCAACAGATTGCGCCAGTGTTACCCGCTATTCGGTTCATGAGAATTCAGAGCGTGGATTTCTTGAGGTTGATCGAAGGGACGGGCCTGGTTCCGGCACAGCTGTGCGCAAAGGTTTACAGGTACCATGCTGTACCATCGATGGCAGACCCTTATCAGACTTCATTGAGAAGAAGGATGGCATTTTCAACCATTCTAAGTAAAGAGAACAAGGAGGTGGTTATAGAATGGCTTCAAGCGGCCTTGCAAGGAACCCTAGCATCCACAGGACCCATAGCAGTTACAACAACGGCATCATCAACGTTAGTTTCAGCAGTGGGTACAGGTGCAGTTGCAGCTGTGACAGGGCCGACGACAGCCAGTTCGTCAAGGAGGATTAGCACAGGAATGTACAATATTAGTCCATCATCACCAATATATTTCAACACTCTGTCCTCATCTCCATCGGCTGTCTACTATTCCACGACAACCCCTCCACTGGCGCCTTTGTCCTCCTTAATAAACGCTCGCTCGCCGCCATCCCCATTGCTCACTCGAGGATTTACATCCTCTTCCCCATCTTCATCCTCATCAGTGATGACTGGATCATCCTCAGCTCCTCTAAACCGAACGACCAGATCCGGAAGTAGCCCCTCTACATATCCTCAATCACAACAGCATCAGCATCAAAAGCCAACATCAACATCACTCACTCCTCCACCCAAGCTCATTTTACAGTATAGGGCAACGCGCGATGGGTTTGACGCCGCCAACTTCCATATGGCCTGTGACCAGCGAGGTCCGACCTTGACGGTGGTCCGGACTGAGAACGGGGCGATTTTTGGAGGATACAATAGCTGTTCGTGGTCTAGCCATCCGTCAGGAGTATACTCAACATCACGAAGCAATTTCTTGTTCACTCTAAAGAGCGGAGTTGCAAGCATGATGAGCTCTAATTCACCCATATCGGCAGCGACTGGACCAGGGTCAAGGCCAGGATCAATGTTAACTTCTTCTCTATCAACATCCTCGCCCTCATCAACGCTATTGGCTCCTTCAAGAGAGAATATGGTTTATTGTATCAAAGGCGATGGAATGGCAGCCGCCTATAGCAAAGCGGATTATGGACCCACATTTGGAGTAGGACATGATTTGTATCTGGCATCGGTAAGATACGAAAATACCAGCACGAAAAAAAAAAAAAAAAAAAAAAAAAAGTTGTCCTTGTTCCTATGGCAGCACATGACTAATATTTCACGATCATTTGTGTTCCTTATAGAACTGCAATATGTCTTGCAATTCTTCTTCGACGCTGCCAGCGACATATCACGGAGCAGGAGCTTCTTCCTTGGCGTTAGCAGGATCGTCCTGCTTCCGTGTACAGGAATATGAAGTTTTCTTGGTGCAATCCTCACCCTCAGCATAATAGGAATAAGAAAGAAAAAAAAAAAAAAAAAAAAAAAAAAAGTAGTACAGATATGTGCCATCATCATCCTGAAGAGTCATGGTATGGGGTCTCTTATCCTAAAAAGACATATCAATGCCAGATGGAATGAAATGCATGTGCTATATATTCTTAACATTCGAATAGCAATAATAGAATGTTTTTTTTTTTTTTTTTTTTTTTTTTTTTCTTTACTTTTTTCCTTTGTTTTCTAGTAACTGAATAAAGTAAACGAACAGTAAAAAAAAAAAAAAAAAAAAAAAAAAAGAAAAGAAAAGAAAAAAAAAATGAAAAAAAGGTATCTCAAAGTCTAAGATTCTCTATGGTTCCATCACCCATACTGCATCCATTGAGAAAACATCCGGAGCCTCATACTCTGTTGCCATCCTGATCTCACCAATCAATCTACCCACATTACTAGAATAAGTCACGATGGTATGTCGACATTGTGTGGTGGAATAAAGGTCCTTCAAGAACATCTTTGCTTGATCCTCACGACTGACCTTTCCAGAGGTCACATCCTTTTCCCAACCCCGGTTTGTCCGTGGCATGATCTGATAATAGATCTTGAAGGTTGGATAGTTCTTTGTCGCCTCAATCACTTTCTGATCATCCGTCATCAAATAAATATTGGAGACCCCGGTTCGCTCATGGATCTCGTAGGCCTTGGTCATGTATCTGTAAAACGGGATCAATCTGGATTCAGTGCCTTTGTCGCCATGTCGTACATGGATCGAGATACAATCTCGAGTCCTCAGCATGACTGTTGTTGCTCTATCATGCTCTTGTAGTCCTTCTCCTTGTTGTTGTTGTAGTCCTCGAATCCATTCTCGAGTTTGAGCATTCGGTCGGATCACATAGTAGGTCAAAACAGATCTCCACCAGAAATGGCCTCGGTGGTTAAAAGTTGGGATGATGAGCTCTCGTTTATCCCCAAGGGGACCCACATCATCCGTCAACGATTTGAAATTCACGGTTGAATCGGTCCATTTTGAGAAATCGGTTTCGGGTGGAAGAGTCGTAAAGGCGGCCTCGAGATCTGAATAAGAACAGGTGGTGGTGGGTATAAATCCTTGAAAGGACGGTTTGGGTTGAAGGTGCTCATCCAATTGGATGAACAGAGTCATGTTATAATAAAGTGTCCATGCTAATCCCAAGCCTGCTGTATGCCAAACGGAACCGAAGCCGCTCCTGTTGATAATACCATAAAAGAAATTGGTACATCGATGCTGTAGTCGATCCAGTTGAGCCTGTAATGACATCCGTTCCTTGTCCTCTTTGAATGTCTTCAAGATCTCGAATCCGTCTCCGCCAAAGGGATCAATGACCCATTGGGATCTTGTCTGGACAAAACCATCTAGTTCTTGACCAAAGTTTTTACCGTCTCCTTGGACAATCATGATCCGTTTTACATGATCACTGACATCCTGCATAAGCTCTTTAGGAACCACAATCAGGTCATAATCACGCTCCTTGCAGTCACTGCCCAGACTGATAGTGGTTGTAGTTGTGGTACTGGTGGTAGTAGCATTGATCTTTCCACAGATGACTTCTATTTGTGTTTGATTCGCTTGACGGTGTATACAGATATCGTTGGTGTTTTTTTGAATTGGACAGAGAGGCCATTCGTTGATGACTCGGATATGATTACGATGTATTGGAAAAGTGATTAACTTTGTAATATGGGTGTGTAGTTGATATGTAACAAGGCCTATGATCAGGACGGTGACCGTACAGGCGATTATCATCCCTCGCCTGAGAATGGTCAATTGGTGATCCATTGCTTCGGCCATGTAGTTGCTTTCCTGGGGCTGATCTTGATAAGATATCGCAATATTTTGTAAAAAAAAAAAATAATAATAATGATAATGATAATGATATTATAATATAATATAAAATACAAAAGTAATAATAATAATAATAATAATAATAATAATAATAATAATAATAATAATAATAATAATAAACGAGGATAGCTATATGGAGTTGACTGAGAGTGATGTATGGGTTATGTTCGAGTCCGGTTTACTTTGAGTGGAAGAAAGAATTGAAAAATGAAAAGTGAAAGTGGAGAAAGAAAGGAAGAAAAGAAAGAATTTTTGTGAGACAGGGGAAGGGCGAGTAAAAAACGGACGCATACATGTAAAAAAGTCTTAGGCTCACTCATCACCAGCCTGAGGACGAAGTTCGTGTGCACATGCACGTGCTGAAAGACAAATGTGGCTTGCTCTTGCAAACACTTTCGCTCTCCAAGTCGAACACACCGCGGAAAAGCTTTCATTCTCACAGCAGAAAATGGCTCTTTTTTCAGAGTCCTCTTTTTTTTTTTCTACACACCGCAGGGAAAGGCGTTTTTTTTTTTTTTTTTTTTTCTTTATTTCATGGATGAATGGTTATAAAAAAAATTGAGTAAATACATGGGATGCTTTTTTATAATATATGTATATATATATGTGTGTGTATGTGTGGTTTTTCTTTTTCTTCTTCTTCTTCTTTTCTTTTAGATCAACTTCTGGCTCAATCCCCACTTCTTGAGACGGATCGATTGAATCTTGATGAAACCTTCAGAATCAACGGGAGCGAAGCCACCCTGGACATCCATGGATGATTCCTCCATATCATACAAGTTGTTGGTCTTTGAAGAACGTCCCTCAACCACCACATTGCCCTTGTACAACTTCAAGCGGACCTCTCCATTCACAGACTTTTGGGAGGCAGCAATGGCAGACAACAGGAACTCGGCCTCGGGTGAGAAGTACTGTCCGTTGTAGAGGATGTTGGAGTATTGGGGGGTCACGAATTGATCACGCAAGTTGCGAACCTGACGATCCAATGTCAAGCCCTCCAAGTCCATATGGGCCACACGCAAGATCGTGCCTGCTGGGGTCTCGTAACAGCCACGGGACTTGATGCCAATGAATCGGTTCTCCACAATGTCCAGACGTCCGATACCGTTCTGACGAGCCAATTGGTTCAAGTACAAGAAGATCTCCAAGCCTCCTGTTACCTCCTTGTTCTCCTTGGAGTTGTTGATCACCTTCACGGGCTTGCCCTGAGCAAACTCGATGGTGATACGCTCAGGGATGTTGGGTGCATCCTCGGGATCAACAGTGAGCTTCCACATATCCTTGGGAGGGGTCACATCAGGATCCTCCAAGATACCGGCCTCATATGAGATGTGGAACAAGTTCTCGTCCGTGGACCAGGGCTTGGCAGCTGTCTGCACAACAGGGATAGACTTTTCGGCAGCATAAGCGAGCAAGTCCTTACGACCCTGGAAGCGTTCATAGAAAGCTTTGAAAAAGGTAAGAAAAAAAAAAAAAAAAAAAAAAAAAGATCAGTTTTTGGATCTGTGAAGAAACAGTCACTTTTGTTCCTCCTTCTGATTTGCTCCAAAGAGTCATTTTTCAAAAGAGCAAAAAGATCATCTTGTTGCTTTTGCTTTTGCTTTTGCTTTTTGCTTTACCAGGAATACGCCATGGGGCGATGACCTTGATATCGGGCTTGAGAGCATAGTATGCCAATTCGAAACGAACCTGGTCATTACCCTTGCCAGTGCATCCATGAGAGACGTATTGACAGTTCTCACGAGCAGCAATCTCCATCTAATGAAAGGGAGGAGGGATAAAGAAAAAGTTTCAAAGATACCATGTGTGTCAGATCAGGGTTAGGATCAGGATCAGGCTCAAGTTCAGGTGTTTGTGAGAGATAATCTTCCTTTCTCACATCCAAGAAACCGTTAGATCCTTTCTGTTCCAAGACATTTCGAGTCATCTTTGATATAATATTTTTTTTTTTTTTTTTTCTTTTTCTTTTTGGATCCCAATTCATCTGATTTGATTATTGATCTCTTCCCCCCCCCTTTTCCTCTAACAAAACCTCCCTTCAATTCCTTTTATCGCACATAATCCTTACCTGACGACGAGCAATGACAGGACGGGCGAGCGAAGTTCCGAGAAGATAGACTCCTTCGTAGATAGTGTTGGCTTGAACAGCTGGGTAGATCAACTCCTCGACGAACTCGCGTTGCAGATCCTGATTATCGTTATTTTATTTTTATTTTATATAGATATAAATTGTATTCATGTTGATTGATTGATTGATTGATTGATTGATCCAAAGTGAATTTCATGTTAGTTCAACATTGTTGATCCAACAATAATAATAATAAAAAAAAAGGAATTACAAAAAAAAAATATATATATATATATAATTACCTCAACGAAAACCTTGGTGGCTCCACAACCTTTAGCCTTGACGACAGCAGCATCGAAATCCTCTTCCTGTCCGACGTTAGCCATGTAGCACATGACCTCGTATCCCTGTTCGATCAACCATGCAAGGATGCAGGAAGTATCGAGTCCACCAGAGTAGGCCAGGAGCACACGACCCTTTGAACCAGCAGCAGCAGCAGTAGTAGTAGTAGTAGAAGACATGGTTTGTTAAAAGTGAAAGATGTGAGGATAGATGGGTGAGAAGGTGGCGTATAGTACAGAAATAACGTGTCAAGGATGTGACCGGTGTTGTTGTGGGGGCGAGAGAAATGTACAAAGTGAGTTAGTGAAGAAGGAAAGGAAAGGAAAGGAAAGAAAGAAACGAAAAGAAGAGAAAAAAGAATTTCTAATTTATAACAAAAAAGAAAAAAAAAAAAAAAAAGATAAGGCTAGAGGTTTGAGGTGAAGATAACTAGATGGAGAGACTCTTGTTCCCCCACCCATTGATGATAATTTTCCCATCTGCTACTTTTTTCAAATGTCCTTTGCCCTTTAGTGTCTAGCCCAGTGATTTTGACTTGCTTTTTGTCCAATGATTAAGCTCAATGATAATTTAACCTTCAAAGACTCATCAACAGTCAACCCAACCCAAGCCATTCATTTTCTCAGCCGGAATATTTTCGGTTGAGCAAAAAAAAACGTGGGAGAGTTTGCTCCTAGTCATAGAATACCTTATTCTGATATTTCTAACCTTTCTAGTCTCCCTTCTGGCCTTCTACGCCAAGTGAGATGAATACTGCCTATATATCGTCATCAAGAGATCTAAAGCTTGCTTTTTACCTCTTTTGACAACTTCGTTGTTGGTTCTAATGAGGAAAAAAAAAAAAAAAAAAAAAAAAAAAATCATGTGATCGATACTCATAAACATAGTTATTGGTGGGACGCCACAGTTGCCACTGATTTAGATCAAGCAGATCAGGAAGGGGAAGAGGAACAACTTCATATATATATATATAAAAAAAAAAAGGTTTATCTTTCTTTTTATTTTAACATTTTAACAATATAAATAAGTGTGTCTTTCTATTAAAAATAAGGAGCGAGGTTTTTTTTTTTTTTTTTTTTTTTTCCCTTTTGTTCTTCGACCAAATGTTGAATACATTGATAATGAATATCGATATTAAGCTATTAAGCAGGATGATATTGAACATAGGTTTTGCCTGCATATGTATGATAAAAGGGAATCCACACTTGCTGCTTTCGCGGTGGCTGTGGCTGTTGTTGATGTTGTAGCTGCTGTTGATGTAATTGTTGCTGTTGTTGTTGTTGTTGTTGTTGTAACTGCTGCTGCTGCTGCTGCTGCTGCTGATACTGTTGTGTCGTCTGTGTAATTGGTGGTGACTGGTAGGGTTGCTGGTTTGCCACAACTGCCCCTATAGCTGCCGCCGACACTGGCGACAATGGGTACGATGATGATGTTGAAGAATTAGTCTGGGAAGGAGGCTGGGGTCGGACCAAAGGCGATGGCGGCGGCTTTGGAGCCGTGATCGGCGGAGCATTATTACTCACACCTATTCCGAATCCGTTTGTTGTGCTCATTGACGTCGCCGCTGTTGGGGGAGAAGAAGCTGGAGTTGGGGTTGAAGGAAGAGGTGGAGGAGGAGAAGTGAATCCCATCTGACTGAATTGATGTGATAAATCATGCTGCTGGCTTGATGCGGAAGCAGAAGCAGAAGCAGAAGCCGCTACAGCCGCTGCAGCTGCCGCATATGGATTAACACCATGTGTTGTCGTAGTAGAAGTTGGGGTAGATGGATCTATTGCGGTTGTGGTAGATGATGTTCTGGGCGGGGGTGGCGGATGATACGAAAACTGTGAGTGATCCGTATCTGGTTCTTTCACTGCATGAGGCCCATGTGGTTGAGGAGGCAGTGGCACAAACGAATGCGCCTCACTTGCCGCATTGGCAGTGCCCGAACCTGGGCTTGTATAGCCATTGTTAAAGGAGTCATTGAAAGAGTCTCTCTGTTGAGGATTCTTGGAATGGACCTTGCCACCGACAGACGCTGCTGGGGTAGAGGGCGTTGAAGGGACTTTGATATCATCCAGATTAACTTTGATTGTCTCATCAAAGTTAACATTCACCTTGATTGTATCATCTACTCGAAGTCCTCCTGGATGTGCAAACGTTGATCCTGAAGGTTGTCCATTGCCCACTTTGGGCGAATCGACCCCCGGCATAGGCGACGATGCATATTGTTGAAAACTCATTACAGGGGTCTTTGGATGAGATGATGCCCCAGTTGGAGTAAAGGGCTGGGCGGCTGAGGATACGGGTGATGGCACAGGCATGGGAATATGGGTCAGACCTGGTGAAGGCGCTCCTGCTGCAGACGAAGTCTGTGCATAGCCCTGGGCGGGTGAAGGAGGCATTGGATAAGCTGGTCCTGCGGTAGGTGAAGGCATGGGCGGGACTGCCGGGGTTGGATATCCTTGAGACGATGTGACCATAGGGTAATGATGGGATGTCTTTGGTGTAGGGTATCCTTGACTGTATGGATGGGGAATCGGAGCAGAGACCATTCCAGAAGTACTTCCAGGGGTCGATGCCATGGGCGCAGGATATCCTATTGGTTGAGTATGATGGGGTGTCTGGGGTATAGAAAAGGGCGATGGCTGCGCATAGGCAGACGTTGGTGTCTGCAATGGTGCAGGGTATGGCTGTTGTGCTGATGGCGACTGCTGATGTGGAGCTACAGGTTGCATTGATGGATACTGTTGTTGATGCTGCTGTTGCTGATGGTGCACAGGTGGTTGAGCAGGCGGATATTGAAGATGCTGCGGGACAGGAGGCTGTTGTTGTTGTTGTTGTTGTTGTTGTTGTTGATAATGGGCCTGTTGTTGTTGTTGATAATGGGCCTGTTGTTGTTGTTGATAATGGGGCTGTTGTTGCTGTTGCTGTTGGTAATGAGGGTGTGCCTGTTGTTGTGGATGCGTATATGGTTGATTCATATGCACCCCTGCCGCTCCTGCTCCTGCTCCTGCTCCTGCTGCTATTGGTCCTGCTATTGGTCCTGTTATTGTTCCTGTTATTGCAGCTGGAGTATTTTGGGCCGGTAATGCAACGGGTGGGGATTGTACAGCCCCTGTAGAGCCCTGTCCTGGGGGGAATGGTCCAGGAATATAGATGTCGAAATCTGCGACCAACTTCTTGGATGAACCATTGACATCGATTGTGAACAAGATCTTTAGTTTGTGAGTACATTTGATAATATCAGTGTCGATGGTGGTCATGATGTTATGGGCAGGTAAGGTGATGGAGACCACACGTTCCAAAGATGCAGCCTGTGTGGGCCATGTTCCTTTGCCTTGTTTGTTCTCCACCAAGGTACGTTTTTCTTCTTTGACGCCCTTTCCTGGAGAGATGAACCAGAAGTATTCCTTGACCTTCATGTTCATCTCCTTGACATACCACCTCGCGCCCATTCCCGGTAAAGGATTCATCCGGACCGTCACAGGGACTGTTGATCCATGATGAAATGCTTTGCTGGGGATTTGGACCACATAGTCTAGAGCGTTCTCGAAATTGGCAGTATGTTGATTAGGGTAGATACAATGTGGGTGAGTCGGGGGCAATGATTGGTAGATCTCTATAATTTGATCTGCATACAGATCCAGTTGAAATGTTGACCGTTTCCCGTTGGCCGAGAACCTGTACTCGATCTTGCCGGTGCTCATTGTTAATGAATTGGGCAGATTGACTGGTAAGGCCAATTGAAAATCGTACACGTAATTTTGGTTTCCCTTTAGGACATGTCCCTTTGAATCCGTTTTCTCCAGAAATACCCAAGTCTTTTCTTCCAGCAATGGCCTCTTTGCTGAATAATATGTAGTATGTGAGCCATGCTCTATGAAAAGGAAAAGGGAAAAAAAGGGAAAAAATGTTTAAAAAAAGACTTTTTTTTTTTTTTTTTTTTTTTCATTTCTACAATTCTTATCATCAATTGGGTTATTTGTTTTTTTATAAAAAAAAAAAAAAAAAAAAATTACTTTCAGACCAACTGCAGGATATTTTGGCGGTAAAGGTAAGGGTGAGGGCCTTGAGAGTCAGGTCATCTTTATGGTTCACAATGAGTTTTCCTTTAATGAGAGGACCCTGAGTACCAGTCCATGGGAACATGAGTCGCTTTTCTCCTTTGGGATCATTCGTCTGTCCTGTTTATTTTATGGTTGTTGTGTAAAAAGAATGTTTGTGTGTGTGTGTGTGTATGTAAATGTATGCATGATGGATGGACTCGAGTGAATGTTAGTTAATGTTTCCCAGGTACAAACCTCCCCAATGGTGGCAAAAATAAAAAATAAAAATAAAAATAAAAATAAAAATAAAAATAAAATAAGCACTTGCCAATGAAAGCACCTTCGAGGTGAATCTGCATAGACTTTGTCATGATGACAATTCCAATTCGGGTTCCAACTCTTATTTTTTTTTTTTTTTTTTAAAAAAAAAAGGGTAGAGATGATGATTAAGTAATAACGATTAAAAGTAAATAAGGAGTAAAGTAAAATAAAGATAATAAGAGGTTGAAGGAGAGAGCAAAGAGAAGAAGAAAAGAGAGGAGAGGAGAGGAGAAGAGAAGAAGAGGACGAAGGAGATATAAAAATAAAAAAAAAGATGAAGGAAGCATCACTGCAGATGTAACAAACAAAACAACGTTACGCACTGCCACAATCCTATACTTGTTATACTTGTACATGTACATGTACATCTTATAAATCTTACAAAGTTGAAAAAATAAAAAAAAAAGACTCGACTTTCTACCCTTCATCTCTCCTTTAGCTTGCAAACTGCGCCATTGCTATCATAGACTCCTCCTCCTCCTCCTCCTTCACGTTTCGCTTTTCGCGTCTTTTTTTTTTTTTTTTTTTTTTTTTTCGCTTTTAATGTATTCGCGTCATGCACCTCTTTAAATACCCACAATTGCTTTTTGTTATTAAATATACAACATGTCATACATATTTTATCACTCACTCTATATAGTACAGATTGTTGTGTGTTGATCAAGGTGAAAGGTCAGATAATATATAAGTAACAAAGAAAAAGAAGCATCTTTCCAATGCATTCCATTCCATCATTTAGGACAATCCAAAAGGACAGATATTCACATCCACATCAATGCGCGTCTTGACTTTGTGGTTTTCAATTTGCTCCGCATTTTTTTTTTTTTTTTTTTTTAATACAAATCGTCGTACATTATAATGAAACGATTTCTTTTTTTTTTTTTTTTTTTTTTTTTTTAATATTTTAATAGAAAAAAATATATATCATTGGGATGAAAGAGTTGAGTTGAGTTGAGTTGAGTTGAGTTGAGTTGAGCAGAGTTGAGAGAGGGACATGACACGTCAAAAGGAATTTTTTTTTTTTTTTTCTTTTTAATGTGCAACTTTGGGAAAGGGAAATAAAAAAAAAATAAAAAAAATAAAAATATACATACATGTATAACATGTATATATTTATATTTTTTTTCTTTTTTTTTTTTTAAAGAGCAGAAGCACCAGTAATAATATCAACCAACTCGGAGGTAATGGCGGCCTGACGAGTACGGTTATAAGTCATGGTCAAACGATCAACCATCTCACCCGCGTTCTTCGTGGCGTTCTCCATAGCATTACGCTTAGCTGACATTTCTGAGGCATGACCCTCGACCAAAGCCCAGTAGATGTTGTTGGCAAACAAAAAGTCGTTGTAGTCCTCCAAGACGCCCTCATCAGCCTCATAGGCAGCGAAGCCCTCTAATATCACCATCATATCATATCATATCATATCATATCATATCATAGAATATAATATAAATCCAGTTAGATTACAATTGACACGTAAAGAAACATGAAGAATAGAGAGAGAGAAAAAAAAAAAAAAAGAAAAAAAAAAACACGTTACCAGAACCCTTCAAGGCATCGAGAGAGTAGCTGGTGATGGGAACAGCCTCATAGGCGATAGCAGAGGTGAACTTGTTGTAGACAATGGTGGCATTGTCAAACTTGACACCAGAGGCCTTGATCGTGTCAACAGCAGCGCTGGCCTCTGCAAAGGTGGGGATGCTCTTGCCGATCTGGTTGAAGGACAACTTGATGTCACCACGGTTGGAACGAGACATCTGATTCTTGGCCTTATCACCCAAGACAACAATACCGGCGTTCTTGACCTCGGACTGGGCAATGATCTTGCGAGTGGCCTTGGCAACAGACGAGTGGATACCACCGCAGAGACCACGGTCAGAGGATGAAACAACAAAGAGGTTGTCCTCACTCTCCAAGGGAGTAGCATTGGAGTTCTTGTAGATGGCTTTATAATATAAAAAAAGAAAAAAGAAAAAAGAAAAAAGAAAAAATCCGTTAAGATATACATCCATCCTCGATTGGGCGTTCCCATTTCCTTCCTTGCTTTTTTGTTTTATTTCGCGCTAATAATAAAGATTTGCTTCGTACCAGCAGAAGAAGCGCCAAAGGTACGGGCAGTCTCCATAGCACGCTGAGCCTTGCTGACCTTGGTCGAGGCAATCATCTTCATGGACTTTGTGATCTTGCCAATGTTCTTGATGGAGTTCAAACGGAGCTGAACTATTAACCCATTCATTCATCAATAAAAAAAAAAAGAAAGATTGCTTAGTTTTGAGTACCAATGAATGTTACAAACAATTTTTTTTTTTTTTTTTTCGTTCTTCTTAGTATCCCACTTACTCTCTCTAAGGGTGGCCATGTTACGAGTCTGGACACCGGCGCTGAATACAAAGAGATGATCATATTAAAGAAAAATAAAAAACATTATGAATAATTAATAATGTGGTGACTAATGAAAAAAAGTAATAAAAGATTATAATAAATTTAAAAGAAAAAAAAAAAAAAAAAAAAAAAAAAAGAAAGAGGCAATGGAAAGGATGGAAGGAAGCGTGTCGTGTCCAAGAGAGATGGAATTGAAAGATGAAATGTAAAAAAAAAAAGTGATGAGAAAAATGTTGACATGTCGCGACAATGTGTTGTCTCGTAGTTTGTTGATGATCAGTCAGATCCTGTGCAAAAGAAGTCCGATGATCCATCCTTTCATCTTCAGTAATAAAATAACAAAAAAAAATAATAATAATAATAAAAGGTCTTTTCTTCCATGATCCAATGCATCAGTCAACTACTCCATGTGAAAATAGGTTGATGGCATTGAAGTAATAACATTTGCAAGAAATGAATCGTAAGGAAATAAAAAAAAGAAAAAAAAAGAAAAAAGATTGTTGGTGTGCGTATGTGGATGTGTGTGGTTTGTGTTGTTGTTGTTGTTGTTGTTGTTGTTGATGAGAAAGGTTGATGGGGTTGATGCTTCTAATTGTTGTTCAGTACCTGAGCGCCGAGGCAACGGGTTGAGCACGGGTGGCGAACATGGTTGAGGATGGAAGTGTGATGAGGATTGAAGAGGAAAGAGAATCAAAAAATAAAAGAGAGAGGACAGGATCAATCTTTTTTTTTTTTTTTTTTTCTGTATGTGTGTTGTGCGTGTGTTGTGCGTATGTTGTGCGTGTGTACCTGTTACCTATTCTCTTTCTATTCTATTCTCTCATCTTATTCAACCCGAATTGACACGAAGACTAAACAAACAGACCACAGCATAAATCATGGGCCAAAATACGTCATCCACCTCAAAAAACTACACGCCACATCACATGACACCCTACATTATCTACTCTACACATACACTCTGTCAGATATGCAATTAGACGAAATATCCAACAGTCCCCCACTACGAAACATGAGTTCATGGTTCAGGTACAGAGCATATGCTGTGCATAGAAAGAAAAGCGTATAAATATTTTCTTTGATGTACAAGCGATCAAGCAACACTTTTTTTTTTTTTTCTTTCTTTCTTCTAAAATGTCTTTTTATTATGAATAGAATGATAGTGATAATGATTATGACAATGGTAATTGTAGACTAAGTATAGCTGGGGGAATAGTAGGGCAGTAAGTAAAGTAATAGTTAGTAGAAGTAACAATAGGACTGGTTCTTTTTTGTTCTCTTCTTTCTTTTAATCGATCAACAAGGGCTTCGAATATCGCCGCACTTTATCCAGACTGGCCCCATTCTTGGCTCCTCCACTACCACTTCCACGTTCTCCAAACCACTCCTCCATGCATCGCTCCAATACTCGGACCCACAACTTTGCATCCCCCTCACGATACTCTTCAAAGTAATAACTCTTCTTTGTCGTATGGATAAAGAAACATTTCTTGCCCTTCACCTCCGACACCACAGACGCTGTGAACAAAATCTCCCCCCGGAGCTTGGCCTGTCTCTTGGAGGCCTTGATCAACCCCGGCGACACTGGTGGCTGCATCTTCTTACCATCAGTACTATTGCTATTACTAATAATAGTACCATTGATACTGCCACCACTACCGTTCACTACAGAACCTATAGCAGCTGTTGTTGGACTTGCAGTCGCAACAACATTGGTCTGCGGTGATGAAGAGGGCGATACCCCGTGCTTTTCCACATCAATCCTGTTGTGACCATTGCTCTGTTGACGATGATGTGTTGTATGAGGATGCGAATGCTGATGTGGTGGATGCTCCAGGCTTGTTCTCACAGGCCGTGCAGCAGTAGTAATAGTGTCCTCTTCATGTTCCGGGATGGTCTGTCCAGGGATATGTTCACTACGGGAATATTGGTGGTGTGTCTTATTGCTACCCTCCCTAGTCAGCACAAACCCACTGGCTGTACTGACAGGGGCCGTCGTCTCCTTCCCATGGCTGAGGTTGCTGCTGTTGGTACCGCGTCGTCCATGCAGAGGTTGGTGAAGAGCATTCAACTGCTGATGTTGATGGTTCTGAGACTCTTGCGACAATGAAGGGTGCTGGTACAGTCGAGGCTGCTGTGGCTGCTCAGACTGAAGACCGCTGAGCTGCTGATGAAGAGAGAGCTGCTGCTGTTGCTGCTCCAGTTGTTCCCACTGTGCTACACGCTGTTGCTGATACCAGCAACTGAAAGCCTCGTTAGTGTTGCTGTTAAAAAGCTGTGAGAAGTAGTGATTCGAGTCATCAAAGTACAGCAGACGTGGAAAGTCAGTCAAGACCAGGATGCACGATCTCGAGAACAGGCCCTTGCGCTTCAAAACAGGTGCTTGATAAATGATTAATTCCGTCGGTAACAAGAAGCTTTGCCATGGTGAGAGCTCTGCCTGGAGCTCGAGCTGAGAACGCCTAGAATAGGCAGAGATCTCACTAGCAGTCACTGCTAATGAGACCGTGGAGTTTTCTCGGGTAAGCTCTGACTTTCGACGAGGACTTCCCTGCTCAGCACTAGCACTAGCACTACCATTGCTTTCCAGACGCTCTACCGGCCGACTTTCCTGTTGCATGTCCAACAGATGCTTCGATCGTTTGCTGAGCAGCTTCTTGTTCGATGACTGCTTAGGACTGGGGGAGAACAGGGCTATGAAGGCATTTCTGCTACTGCTCTTGGACTTTGCGTGTCCATTCGTGGACGTAGACGGCTTCGTGGGAGAGCCATTCACTACCGAAGCAGAGGCCGATTTGGACATGCCCTGCTGTGGCGAAACAGTGGATTCTGTCTTGGAATGTCCCGAAGTAGTCGTGGCCGAGACCGTGCTCGCCTTTTCGATCGTGCTTCCGAGCTCTGGCAGACTCTGGGATGCTGTCGTGGTCGCAGCAGCAACTGGATGGGGAAGGGCCGTTGTACTGTCCATTGCTGTGGTTGAAGGCTTGGTGACCTCGGGAAGGGCAAGGACAGCGGAATGAGGACCCTCATCCGAATCATTCATGCTGTTCCTGCCGCTGTTGTCCATGCTACTGCCACTATCACCAAGTTCTCTGAATGGATCGACGACCATCAGGGCCTCGCCTGTGCGGTTGACGCCCCAGAGACAAGCGTCGTGGTCGCTACGCAAGGGCTCGGTATTGTGAGCGGGCGTTGGAGGCAAATAAGGCATTAATTTGGGTGCAGGTTGGCTCCAGATTTTGTCCCATTGGACACCTAGAAAGAACGGGTGTTGTTTCAATTCGTCGATCGTGTTGTTTGCGCCCAAACGCTCGTTAGGATCATGGACCAGAAGGCGTGAGACGAGGTCCATGGCAGTAGCGGGGAATCCTGCTGGGAAGGTATATTCGAGCTTGACAATCTTTTGAAAGGTCTGATATTCATTTGATCCCTTGAATGGTGGTCTTCCTGCAAGGAGTTGGTAGATGATGCATCCGAATGCCCATAGGTCAGAACTAAATTGGGGGGAGGCGAGGAGAAAGAGGGGCTCAAGATGAGAACATTGTATTTGTAGTAAAGAAGAAGAAGAAGAAGAAGAAGAAGAAGAAGAAGAAAAAAAAAAAAAAAAAAAAAAAAAACTTGCTGTGATGTATACCATACCTTTTGCAAGCAGCCTTTTCAGTCAAAAGTTCTGGTGAGACGTATTCAGCAGTTCCTACAAAAGAGTTGGCTCTATCGGACTCTGTCCCATCCTCGGATGGCTCCAACATCTTTGCAGTTCCAAAATCAGTCAACTTGATGTACATGCGATCATCCATAAGAATACTATTGATATTGAAACAATAGGATTTTAGCCTTTCTTTTCTTTTCTTTTCTTTTCTTTTTCTTTTTCTTCTAAAAACTTTTTACTGTGTCCCGATGAAGCTGATGGGTGATATATGATTGTTCTGGAACGTACTTTTCTGGCTTCAAGTCGCGATGGATAACACCCTGACCATGAACATATTCAATTGCGGTCAAGATCTGTGCCGCGTAGAATTTGGTACAATTCTCATCAAACGAGCCAAGCTATTAAAAAAAGGAGGAAAAAAAAAAAAATGCAATCGTATATCGGGATTTAGTGTCCTGATTGAGCATCATCTCCATCCGTTGACATGATCCAGATAAGAGGATGATTCCTCACCTTTTTGATGAAGGTCAACAGTTCACCATTTTCACAAAGCTCCAAGACGTAGTCTAATAGTGAATGATGAAACGATTATGGTTAGTCACGAAAAGCTAAAAACAAATAATAATAATAATAATAATAATAATAAAAAAAAAAAAAAAAAAAAAAAAAAGGGAAGGAAAGTAGGAGTCAAATAAAAGAGAAGAATCAAATCCCCCCCCCACTCTCTTTTGCTGGCCATGTTTAATGATTAAGTGCATGTTTGTTTGTTTGTTTGTTTTTCTTCCTCAATTGTAGTAGTAGTAGTAGTAATTGTTGTTGTTTTTCCTTGAACAATGACAATCATTTTTCAGATCATTATCCCAATGACATCTCCTTGATTTTTTTTTTTTTTTTTTTTTTTTTTTTGTTACATCTCATTTGTCATACACTTTTTTTTTTTTTTTTTTTTTTTTTTTTTAAAAAAAAAAAAAAATGTTGACTCAACAAATTACTTACAAAGACTGGCGTTGTCTTGAAAAGTAGAAAATAATTTGACGACTCCTGGATGGTCGAGTTTGTAGAGCGTATTCTTTTCAATGTTGACATATTTGACTTTCTTCTCACGAATAATATGTCTCTTGTCAAGGACCTTGATTGCATATTTGCGTCTGTTGGATTGATCGACAGCCTCGACGACCTGTGGTCAAGCAAGCAAGCAAGCAAGCAAGCGAGCAAGCAAGCAAGCAAGAAAGAAAGAAAGATTTTAGTTGATACAAAAGACAGATGTTATCAGTTTAGATGGGACATTGAAAGTTGCGGATCCGATCAGAGCAATCCTCAATTATTTTTTTTCTTCTTCTTTCTTTTGCTGGGTAAAGTAAAAAAAAAAAAAAAAAAAAAATGAAAAAGAGAAAAGGGAGGAAAGGGAGTAAGGAGAGGGCACAGACCCTCAAGCGAACAAAACACAATCGAGTTGGATCCTGTTTGTTGGTTCGAATGCTTTTGTTTGTGTGTAACCCTTTTTACCGCATCATAACCCAATTCATTCCCCATCTCTACCCGCCATCTGTCTGTAGCTATTGATTGTATATCCCCAACGATTCTTTGCTCCTTTGGAAGAAATGAAGATTAAGAATAAGAATAAAAATAAAAATAAAAATAAAAATAAAAATAAAATCATATTGCTTTGATTTGCAAGAGAATTTGATCTGGAAGAAGAATTAATTCCATTGGTAAGAAAAAAAAAAAAAAAAAAAAAAAACTCGAGTAAACATGAACATGAGAAAAAACGAGAGCCATTGGGCGCAAAGGCATTTTTTTTTTTTTTTTTTTTTTTTTTTTGGCCACCGCCGATGGAGTAGAATATGTATATTTATATATATATATATAGAGTAAAAATAAAATCGACCTATTCCATATCAATTGAGCAGAAAATGAAAATGAAAATGAAAAGAAAAAGAAAAAGAAAAAGAAAAAGAAAAAAAAAAAAAAGTAATGATGTTGGAGTGATGGGAAGAGTGGTGGTAATGATAGGTGGTGATGGTAAAGGATCAAAGCTCCCTTCCTCTCCATTTTACTCTTTACTCTTTACTTTTTAATAACCTCATCTCACGATGGTGGGAACAAGTAAAAAAGTAACGTGGAAAAAAAAAAAGGAATTCTCTCCGAGGATAGGGGCAAGAGAGAGAGAGAAAGAGAGAGAAAAGGCGTTCAGGTGACAATGATCAAAGGAACCCGAGCCTGCCAAGAGCAAAGGATAAAAAGAAGCTATTCGAGTAGCACAGGCATAATTGGGAATAGGCCTGTCTAAAATAGCCTCTTTTTTTCTGATCATTAGACTCTTGCAAGAACAATAGATTATATCTCTCCCTTACGCGTCCAGGTTTAGGTTAGAGACTAGTCAACAGCGACTCTATATTCTCTCTTTTTTTTTTTTTTTTTTTTATACGTGTATGATCAGTTGAGGGTTGAAGTGATTATGAATCATGCAGTAGGATGAATGAAGCAAGCTGGAATGAAAGGAAAGGAAAAAGCATAGAATGGATACAACATGAGTGTAAAATAAAAGATAGAATCAATAGGATTGCTTACAGTCGAGTAAGATCCTTCACCAAGGGTCCTGCCGAGTCTGTAATCAGCCAGGGTACGTCTACGGACTGGGATGGATGCTGTGGAGGTGTTGATATGGGAGCCATTGACGACTGATCCAGAAGGTACTCCTTCCTGGATATTGACATGTGTTGGCCTCGGGATGGACGTTGTAGTAGCCGAGGTGGTCGTTGGCACTGTTTCAGCCACAGGTGCAGGAGCAGATGTGTTTGAAGAAGGAGAAGAAGGAGAAGAAGGAGAAGAAGAAGAAGAAGAAGAAGAAGAAGAAGTAGTTGTTGTTGCTGTTGTAGTCGTATCCAAGGCAGAGGCAGAAGCAGCAAGGACAGAGCGTGGAACAGGAGTGGGTGGAGTGGTTGAAGGCAATGTGCCGAGAGGAACGGGATTTGCTGTGGGTGTGGATGGAGCTGAGACTGGAGCTGGAGTTGGAGTTGAAGCAGGCGCAGGCGCAGGAGCAGGGGCAGGAGCAGGGGCAATGTCGGAGAGAGGTACAGCCACCGGACCTTGCAGATGATCTGATGTAGCCATTGGGTGCTAGTGACTAAGTTGAAAGTAAGGTTTAAATGGAAAATATGATTGCAATAACAATAAATGACCAATGGACCATGGACAATGGACAATGGACAATGGGCAATGGACAAGTGGCAAAAGAATAAGAAGAAGAAGAATAAGAATAATAAGAATAAGAATAAGAATAAGAATAATAAAAGATATTAGCCAAATATACAGAGCAAAGTGATTGAGTGATTGAGTGATTGAGTGATTGAGTGATTGAGTGATTGAATGGAATGGAAAGAAAGAAAAAAAAATAAATAAATAAATAAAGACAGGTGAAAAAAGAGAAAGAGAGAGAGAAAGAGAGAGGATTGGATTGGATTAAAAGCAGGAGTGTGAAGAGAGAGTGTGAAGAGAGAGTGTGAAGAGAGAGTGTGAAGAGAGAGAGTGTGAAGAGAGAGAGTGTGAAGAGAGAGAGTGTGAAGAGAGTGTGTCAATTAGTGTCAGCTAATACACTCCCATGGGGAAATGGACGCTAATTCGGTTGGCATTATTTATAAATCACAATTTATAATTTATGGTTTCTATCACTACAACAGCGTGTTCAGTCAGAGTAGCCCTTTTGTCTACTGGGCCAAGCCCTTTTTTTTTTTTTTTTTTTTTTTTTTCTTTTCTTTGTTCTTTCGATCGACAAGACAAAGGCTTGTTATTGACTGATGCTTCTGTCGTTATCCTTGGTGTTGTTGTTGTTAGTCGAGGTTCGTGTCGGTATTTGATCAGTCAGTGCTTGATTGATTAATTGATCGAGATGTTTAACACATCAAAAAAAGACGTTTGTCTATATTTCCGTTCCTGGGCCTGGCTGGAGCAATTCCTAGCCATGCCATGCCATGCCATGCCATGCCATGCCAATCATAAATATATATCGTATCTATATAAAAAGATTAAATAAACATTTTACAATTCAAAAAACTCAGTTCAGCAAGCTCTCTTTCATTTTTTTTTCTTCTTTATTCTTTTTTCTTTCTTTCTGTCTTTTAATCTTTTCTATCTCCTCTTCTCTTCTGATTAAAGCAGTATAAAAATGCATCTCTTTTGGTTCTTTTTCTTCTTTAACCATTCCATTCGCGTGATCTACTTTGTTTCCCTCCCCCCCTAACCAAAGCAAGTATTTATATATATATATATCTTTGAAGAGATAATGAGTGAGTGAAAGAGAAAGACGACCCTCGTTTTTTTTTTTTATTTTATTTTTTTAGTTGTATAAAAATAAATAAGAAAAAGAAAAAACCTTCGCTCCCTTCTCTCCTTTCATCGTTACCATTGGATGGGGTTGAAGGGGGGAGGGTGAATATATTTAAACACTGCGTATCACGTGCATTCTATCTTTAGCCATTATGTTTGTTTAAAAATACCCCCCTTCTCCCAACTAACTTCATTCATTCATTTTATCCCATTCAGTTCTGTTGAACTGAATTTAATTACATGAAATAGCACGCACTTTTTTTTTTATTTTTTTATTTTTTTATTTATCCATTTATTTGAGCATCCATGCACCCAACGCGCCCCACACATGCCATGCAACAAATCTCACTCGATATACATGTATATTATATATATGTATTATATATACATATTTTGAAGGAAAAGAAGAAAAGAAAAAAAAAAAACGGCATAAAAAAAAAAAAAAAACGTGCGTAATACACATGAATGTCCTTATGCAACGTGTAAAAAAAAAAAAAAAAAAAAAAGTCTAATGTGCTATATATTAATGCAATATGCTGCATGTTATACATGTGTGTGTGGCAAATGGTTTTTTTTTTTTTTTTCTTTTCTTTTCTTTCTTTTTCTAACACATCTATATATACTATATATATTATATTTGTATATGCGTGTAAAATTAGAGGATTTATTAAGAGTTATTAGGATAGAATCACTGGGACTACTAGGATTATTAGGATTATTAGGATTATTAGGATTATTAAAATTATTAGGATTATTAGGATAATTAGGACATTAAAGCTTATTAGGATTATATTAGGAGGATGGATCGGTGATTATAAACGTATAAAACTTGGGCGTCGACACTTTCGGCGAAAGGTGTTGATAAGCATGCTCCACCTCTTCTCTTCTTTCTCTTATCTCCATGTCGTACAACACAGCTTTTTTTTTTTTTTTTTTTTTTTTTTTTTGTGTGTGTGTGTATCTACGGCTCTCTTTCTTTCTTTCTTTCTTTCTTTCTCCCGTTGTCCGCTATTATTATATATGGCTATTATTGTTATTACTATCATTATTATTTCCTACATGGCGACAACAGGGAGTACAACAGATTGTTGCCCAACCTCCCATGACTTCCAAATATTCTGTTTCTGGAATCGGTTGTGTAGCTGTGTCAGGAATGACCTCCCTGCTGCATAGATATCCGGATTCCTAAATGGCAAAGGTCGATTATGATCAAATGTATCCGAGCACAACGATCGGGATAGCGGCATTGACGATGAACACGATGATGATGATGATGATGGTTCGTCCTCATTCTCTTCCTGAGCGTTCGATCCTTCGCCTTCTTTTTCTTCTACTGATGTTGATGATGCCGTTGTTGCTGCTGTAGTTGTTGTCGATGTAGCAGAGGACATTGAAAAGGATGAGGATGAAGGCGATGGTGTGGGCAAAGACTCAGACGAGGACTCGAATTGATATTCATCCTTCTCTACCTCAGGTGAGAGAGGAGACGGTGGTGTAGGTGACGAGCGATCCACAAATCGTTCTGCCAACTCGGACGGATAGGAGAAACTCAATAGACAATGATGACTCAACCCTTCTACCTCCGGGTTCGGTTGCAGATTGACCCTTGTTACCACCAGTACCTGGTTTGCAAGCGCGTTCCTTCCATTGTCCTGATCCTCATCCTCATCCTCTGCTCCATCATCATTAAACTCTTCTGAATCTGAATCTGAATCCGCTGTCCCTACTCTTCTTCCTGCCCCACTGCTATATCGTCGGCCAAGTCCCGGTAGGACATAATTGACAGGATAGCTCAGCAACCATCCTGTCAATGTTACTAACGAGAGTTTGTTGGGCACAATTAGAGGCTGATATGACTGTTCAGCTTGATCCCATGATTTTATCCTCCGCTCAATCTCTGGTAATAACACATCGCGAACGTAATCTTCCAAAGCTCTATAACGATTACAAGGCATCTGTTGAAGAAAAGGATGAAAAGAAAGAAAGAAAGGGGGGGGATGAGTCAATCAATGTGCGTCGGGAAAGATTCTTTCTAGAAGAAAAAAAAAAAGAAAAAAAAAAAAAAAAAAGAAAAAAAAACCTACAATTTCAGGTTGTGACAGATGATGATCCACATTGACAAAGACGCGTTGAAGACCCTTGGGCGATCCTGTGAGATAATCATGAATGTCCTGTAACAGCAATTGACGATGGATAATAAACACATGATCTTCTCCAATGCTCAACAAGTCCAATTCATTAAACCTGGCAGACTAATTGATCCACAAAGCGTATTGTTTTATAGGAGGGAAAAAAAAAAAAAAAAAATGGAAATGGGGAAATGGATTAGTAAAAGAATGGTTGTTGTGCGCAACGCAACGTCCTTTTAATGTTTGTGAAACAAAAAGAAAAAGTTTCTTATTTTTTGAGAGCAAAAAAAGAAAAGATTTTCCTCTCGGTAATGTTTTTGAGAACCGTGCTTAGAAATCAAAAAAGCAGAAATGTGAAGGCAAAGGCAAAGGCAAAGGCAAATTACGCGCTTATCACCAATATTCATATATACATGTACATACATGATGGAAAAGAGATTGAAACCTTTCGATATCATTCTCATTCAGGAACAATTGATCGACCAAGGATGCTGATCTAGTGAATAATAAATAGAAAAGAAGAAAAACACAAGTATTTATGTCTGTTAGTCGACAAGAAATTCATTCATTCATATAAACCAGAAGAAGAAGAAGAAGAAGAAGAAGAAGAAGAAGAAGAAGAAGAAAAAGAAGAAGAAGAAAAAGTAGAGAAAGAAGAGAAGGAGAAGGAAGAGAAGGAGGATTGATATTAAAGTTGAAGCAGAAATATTAAAATCCTGTGAAAACCAATTGTGGAGCCCACGTTTCCTTCTTCTTTTTTTCCTTCTACATTGTCAACTCTTATCTCCACGATCAAAAGAAGAAGAAGAAGAAGAAGTAGAAGAAAAAAAAAAAAAAAAAAAAAAAAAGGTGGAGATGACAAAGTGAATGAAAGATAAGCAATTGAGCAAGATATAATATGACTCGAACATGTAAGATATACACATTCATATGAATGCATGAATGGATGAATGAATGTGTTGATAAAAAAAAAAAAAAAAAAAAAAAAAAAAGTTAATGAACGGATAGACTATGATCCGATCGGCATATTTTTTAAAGTTCCCGCCTCTCTCTCTCTCTCTCTCTCTCCTCTCCTCTCCTCTCACACTCTTTTCCCTCTTCTCTTCCTCTTCTCTTCCTCTTCTCTTCTCTTTCAGTATTGCTTATGACCCTTCCAATGAACGATGGACAAAAATGTAATATCCGCGAAGCAATTTAACTTTTTTTCTTTTTTCTTTTTCTTTTTTTTTTTTTACCTTAAACCTGCAGCAATGCAAATAATATCTATCAATTGAATGTTTCAAAAGAAAAAAGAAAAAAGAAAAAAAAAAAAAAAAAAGAAAGGTCAGTTTAGTCAATGGATGGATGAGTTGGGGGAAAAGAAGTGTAACATTTAGGTTGTAGCATTGTGTTCAATCAAAAGAGAAATAGAAATGATAATAATAATAAAAAAAATCTCCAAAATCTCTCCATTCCTGTTCGCTTTGTAATCAATGGCAACTGCACATACCATGCCATGCATTGCCATGCATAGCGTGTTTTTTTTTTTTTTTTTTTTTTTTATCGTTGTATGCGTGCGAGGAGAGAGAGAGAGAGAGAGAGAGAGAGAGAGAGAGAGAGAGAGAGAGAGAGAGAGAGAGAGAGAGAAAGAGGGAAAAATAAAATAAAAATAATAATAATGTTAATGTACCATTTGCCAATGAGATTTGTGCAGCGTGATTGATCCGCTTCTTTAGAACAAGTCGGACAGTTCCGAGTGCATCCTCAAAATATGATCCGTCCATTGTCAAAATGAATATGTGTAATGGTAAAAAGGCTATTATCAAGTATTTAAAAACAATGGATGCTATCCGAAAGGGAAGGAAAGGAAAAGCGGAGCGAATTGTTTAAAAAAAAAAAATTGAAAATTGAAAATTGAAAATTGGAAGGAGATGTTGCTTAAGAATGAAGAAGACTCTATGGTAAAAGAAAAGATGAACTACTTGAGGAAGGGAGGAATGGAAGGAAAGGAAAGGAAAGGAAAGGAAAGGAAAGGAAAGGAAAGGAAAGAAGAAAGAAGAAAGAAGAAGAAAGAAGAATGAAGAATGAAGAATGAAGAAGTAAAAAGTAAAAAGTAAAAAAAAATTAAAAAGATGTTAAGGAGATAAGATTGGTCAGGCACCAAATGTTGAGAGTGGTTTTGATTGATGAGCAAAAAAAATAAAAAATAAAAAATAAAAAATAAAAAATAAAACATAAAAAATAAAAAAATGTTTAAAAAAGGGAGGACTTTTATATCGATCTGAGCACACAGCTGTGGCTTGACGATGGACGATGAATAAGGGCTTTACTACTAAAGTCCAACTTGTAGTCAAATCATCAAGCCCTATTCAAGTCAAGTCAAGCCAAGTCAAGCCCGAATCAAGTCAAGCCAAGTCAAATCAAGTCAGCTCAAGCCAGGCTTTGGAAGGAATCGTCAAGCCCAAAAGGCTGTAGATAACCATCGCCACAATAATAAAAACCAACCCAACAATGGGATCTTTCTCAATTGAAACTTGTTTCTTTTTTACCTCAGCCATCATTGCAAAAAAGCATCTCTGTAAAAGAGCTTTTTTTTTTTTATTATTTTATTTTACTTATTCGCCTTATTGGTACTGTTGGCTCCTTTTTTTTCTTTCTTTTTTTTCCCCTCTCGATACAATGAGCTAAAAGAGGAACTTGCTGGATCTAATAAACGTTGGGGAAAAGAGCACTTACTCTGGTAGATTCTTTTTATTTTTCCTTTTAGCCAAAAAAAAAAAAAAAAAAAAAAAAGCGTCAAAGGGAATAACCACAAGAAATAAAAAAGAATAAAGCCTTGATGAATCAGATGGGCTGTTCATTGTTCATTGTTCATTGTTCATTGACTACAACATTTGCGCCGCACTAGAGGCTTTATTGTCAATACATACTCAGACTTGTAGACTTGTGGAAAGCTGGAAATAAATAAAAAAAAAGCGCTTTTGACTGAAACCAGCTCTGCTCACTCTGCAGTATCGATTACTCGGCCATTAATGATGGTTAAAACAAAAACAAAACAAAAAAAAGATTGCCCCAAACGAAAGCCTTTCTACGGCCTTTTTTTTTTTTTTTTTTTTTTTTTTTTTTTTTCAATCCTTCGCGCGTCCTAAATAGGGCAGGTCGATGTATGACAGAAAAAAAAAGGTCCGGAATAGATTTGTTTAACGTTGTCAAAAAAGGTGCTCTTTTTTTAAAAATGACCGAAAAATCCTCCCCAAAGTTAGAAATGCTCGACGCTCATCTTTCTTTTTTTTTTTTTTTTTTTTTTTTTTAAAAAAAAAAAATATCCCTAGCAACCTTAACATTTAGAACGACGTAGAGCCAGTTTGCAAAAAAAAAATAAAAAAATAAAATAAAAAAGTGAACAATAACAACAACAACAACAACAAAAAAGAAAAAAGATCTGCAGTCTATTCCTTTTTTTTTTTTTCTTTTTCTTTTTTTTTTTCTTTTACAAACACATGCCAAAGCTTTGTAAAAATAACTCTAGAGGCTAACCTGCTTCTCTCTTTCTTAGTTCTTTGAAAAGAACGATGACTCTTATGTTCCGCATTGCACCGCATCATAACTGCATCGTAACCGCACCAAAAAAAAAAAAAAAAAAAAAAGCAATCACGAGTGCGAGCATGAAGGAACAATGGGAACAATGGGAACAATAAGAATGGGAATACTTTCAAACGCGATAGATAATGGATAATAGTTAGTCAAGATGACAATTTATCATCTTTTCATCCCAAAGTTGTATACCAAAATAGATTTGTTAGTACCATCTCTATGCCATATCCGATTAATGCTGTCCATTTGTAAAAGGGCTGCGCAACGGTGAAAGGAATGAATGACAAAATATTTGTATTTGTCTGTGGCGGGAAGCACTGCCTTCCCCTCCCTCCTTCTCTTGAACACCATTAATCCAAAAACAAACAAAAAAAAAAAAAAAAAAAAAAAGGAAAAGCCCAAATTACAAAGTGAATGTTTTTTTCTCTTACGTATATTCATTCGTCAGCTACTTTTTTTTTTTTTTTTTTTTTTTTTTTGTTTTTTTGCAACATCAAGCCAACAGAAGGCTCAGGTCAAGTTTTATTTTTAAAAGCAACCTGAACAGAGCTGCATTGATATCTTGCATAATATACCGCACAGGGCTTTTTTCCTGCCCTGTGAAGCGTCCCAGATCAATTGTTTGTCTCTTCATTCAAGGTAGTGGTGCTCTAGCGATAAAGGTAGGTGTTTTTGAAAGTTCGGTCACCCTTGGTAGGCCCATACTCTTTCCTCGGCTCGTATTCTCCTCTTCATCAGCTTGGTTAATTTCGTGGACGTCACTAGTTTTGAACCGTTCCAATGAGTCTCCCAAACGAGGGCCCTTTAGAGAGTCAACTATAGAAAAAAAAAAAGAACGATCCTAAGTTTAGAGCAATGAGATATGCGTTTGATGATCACGGAGTCTAGTACCAGGGACTAGAGGCAAAAAGATGTCCTTTTCGTGATGAGAGAGCTTACCGTATGGCGTCACTACAACCTTAATTGGCCTACGATGTATCGACGTCTTCAAGTTGGCTAATTTAGAACAGAGGCCAACTCATGGCAAATGAAGCTGGTAGACAGATAAATGCCCTATACTCAGGCTGGACTGATGGCATGGATCCAGGAGGAGTCTGATAGACTCTTTTTGAGACTTCTTCGCCCGCTCATTCCTCTTTTCCTCACAAGTTCACAGCCACCATCAACGATTTTCTTCCTATTTTGAGTTTACTTTTAATGTTGCCGAAAAGCCAGTATTGGTGTAGACACATTTTCCTTCTCCTTCCTGAACAAAGCTTCCACCACAGCCAGCATTGTCTGTCTCTCTCGAATGAGGAAGCACTCACGAGGGAAAGAAAAAGATTGTAATGGGAGGTTAAATTATACAAGATGCAGTGAAAGGATGGAGAGATCACTGGTGGTGTTTTGTGAATGCAACTTTTTTGTTTCTTGGGAATATGAAAGTAGAAAGGTATAAGGAAAATATATAATATATATATCACGCGCGTAATAGCAGCGTTAATAATAATCAGATTTCCAAATTTCCTAGGATCAGATGATCCTAGGATAGACTATCACATCTTCAAACATCGCGGCCACAATATTCAGAGAAAACTTTGTTTTAGTGGTCGTCTATGTTTATTTTCCCATGAGAGTCCATGAGAATCCATAAGGATGATAGTTTGCGATTGGGAGAGTATAAAAAAAAAAACAAAACAAAAAAAAAAGATTATCAAATCAACCTAAAAGTATATATATATAATATCCATTCAAAATGGATGGAGGAGAACTATCCAACAAACTATAACAACCAAGTATGTTTATAATAACAAATAAACAACAGCAACAACAAAAAATCGTCTGGAGTTTGGAGTTTGGAAGAATATGTGTATATTTCTAGATGATGATGATGATGCTGATGCTGATGCTGATAAGTAGGAAATGATGGACAGAAAACGCTGCATGGATGTGCAAGGATAAAATGGCCCATGAAGCTTTTTTTTTTTTCTATAATAGATATAAAAGCCATTTGTCAATGAATGATAATGGCCGACGATCATAATGACAATATGTATATATGTAATGACATTTATTATATAATATATCATACTAAAACCGATTTTATATTGTTCATAATGAGAATAGGGTAACGGCTATATCTCTTGTCTTTATTCTTTATTCAAAAAAAAAAAAAAAAAAAAAAAAAAAATGAAAGAAGAGAATGAAAAAATGGAATGTTTGGATTAGAAGAAGAACAATAGCGCACGTAACACATTCTCATGAACAATTTTTTATCAAAGTTAATCATATATACATGTATTATATATATATACTATCATCGTATTCTATATTCATGTACATACTCCATTCTATCCTTCTCTGTTTGTTTTATTTTGAGAATAGGTTAATGAACATTCCTTTAGAATGGGCGTAAAAAAACAACAGCAACAACAGAGGCGCTAGCGTGTTTGTTTTCTGTCAATGTGTGGGGAAAAAAGGCGCCTTGATGGGATCTTGGATCTTGGATAACTGATAATCTATTTACATCCATACATCTGTTCTACACATCATGTATATATATATATATGTATATATATATTATATGGGGGCACAGTTCCTTATTTTAGTCCTTAGTTTAGTTTAAGGAAACCCAAGTTCATAGAATGCAGAGGATCCCAAGTTCTTTAGTATGATCAGCAAATGATTTTGTTTGTGAGATCGATCTAAAGGGTAAAATAAGATTAATTCAGCCTAAAAAAAAACCGAGAACATCGAGGGAAGATGTCTAAATACAGCAAACATGCAATATGTATATATATATTATATATATATTTATAATACATTATATATATAATATAATATAATATATAATCATGTTATATTAAACATGAGAACGGGACCTGAAATACTTTGATGCGTTATGACGAAAGTTATCGAACTCCAATCCAGGTCGAGTGAGGTCGAAATGATGGTGCATAGTGAGCGGGGTTTCTTTTTTGCACACACACACACACACACACATACACACGCTTGATGGTGTCAATGTTCAGAAGATGCATGAGATTACAGAGAAAAAAGGATGAATGTTAATCTACGGCATACAGTATGAATCTCTCCTATCTGCAGAAAAAAAAAGAGCCGCCGTTCTGGACACAATTTTGTACATTCATGTAGACAGCGCATGTGAGAGCATCGGATTTAGAGAATACAAGGAACCGACGTAGAATAGATGAAGTAACATTTTGTTTATTTATCCTGCAGGCGCCTTTTGTGCGACTCGCGCGTGTGATCAGACTAGGAACCAGCCAATCGCATTAGAAACCTTCTTGACAAGGCTCTCGAAGGAAAAGGGTTACATATACACGTTGAACTGGTTTTCTTCATATTCTACCTCTTTGTTTCATTAGGACTTTCTTCATTCTAGAATCGGTAATATATATATATATATATATATAATAAAAAGGTGAAATAGCAACAAAGAAAAGGTAGAAAGAAAGGAAAGGAGGAAAGAGTGGAAGAAGTGTAATTTTGGCAATGGTAATGACAACGAGATTAAGATTAAGAACGAGGACGAGAATGAAGAAAACTTGTTTGATAATAATGTCGACATGCAAGGAAATACCCTTGCATGTCC